ATGAGGAGATTGGTTCCCACTGCATGGGAGAGAGCCTTCGGTGCTGTTGGGGACATCACGATAGCCACTGGAGAACTCAGTGTGCTTGTGGTTGTCGTCTGGGTGACAATATCTGGGTAGATTACTGACTCCTCTCCAGTTGACAGTTTGGAGAGTCCACTCCCATTCCATCTGCTCTCGCAAATTCCAAGCACTTCAATGTGATACCCCTTCATCTCGTTTGCAATCTGGGCTGCCTTGCTTGGTTCAAACATCGTGTGGGCATTCCATGTCCTCACGTTTACTTTCGCTTTCATCTAGGGAGAGAAGATAGATCGGCCAATTGGCTTCGCGAAGGGAGGCTTTCACCAACTGACGGCATTTTGTCTCTCCGATTCCAGTGAGGAATAATTTTATTATTATTTTTTGTATTTTGTTTGTGCTTTGAAGTTTCTTTAGCAGTTGGATTTATTTCACGGGGTAGGGTTGCTAGCCCTATGCCCAACCTTCCGTGTTTACCCGGTCTTAGGAGCGGCTAATAACTAGTGAACTAGTTAACCAGGCGATGTTCAAAATAAATTTACATGTATATAACTTCAAAAATAGGTGGAAGATGATTCTTTGGCATACTTGACCCCATGAAATTATTTAAAGTGGAAAAAATAATTTGTAGAGGAAGAATGATTGATCGAATTCAGTATATTTTTACTTGTGTAATCCCACCGTAGTATATCAGAACAAGTGACAAAATAGACCTTAATGTTTTGAACTTGCCTGGAAGTTTCTTTATAAGAGTATGAATCTGACATTAAGTTCTCAGGTTAATATTCAACTTCTGGTAGAGAAGGTGACTTATACGATCATCCAATTACATCGTGATATGAAACAAAGATGATTGGCTGAATACATTGGGATTAGAACACATTATTCCATTCCATAATATACAAACTTTACATCTGAATATTTAAATTCTTTTAGGGGTACATTACCACCTGTAATATGAAGGATAATGTTGTAAAGAGACTGATTAGTCAGGTTCTATAGTTCTGACAAACATTAACGTGGTCATATGAAATCAATGCTAACTGAATTTTCATATTCGTGTGAACAGATTTACGTAAATGTATTTCCATGTGTTGCCACGAAATTGTGAAATGCTAAAATTCACTGTGAATTACATAGATCAGTGAACAATCTATTATTACGATTAGTAATCCGTTGACAATGTTGGTCTGAAAAGTTTACCTACGAAGATACCACAAAGATCAATAGCAACACTTTTGTGTTTTTAACATCTGCATCCTATCAGCCAAATACTTCGAAAATCCACATATACACTTTCAAACAGCAAAATATTTATGGTGTAACATGAGCGCGAATTCCCTGTTGATATACTTCCTTATGACAGTCTCATTTTGTCAAGTAGGAAAGTTGTCTATGCTATCCATGCATTTACTAAGTATCGAGAATATGAGCAGTGAAATCAAGATACCTTCTGAAGCTGTTAATCATGATAGGTAGGCTGGTCAAAAAATTCCACATTTCTTTATATACAAAATATTGAAAACATACACAGTATTCATCGATTTCGAAAAAACCTTTGAAAGTGTCAGTCGAGAAGTAAGTTGGAAACTGCTTCAACAATACGGCTTTAGTGCTACAAACCCATACCAACCTCACTCAACAGCTATTTGATGATGATGATGCTACATGCCAAGTGATTGACAATGGAAAGCTCAGTGATCCCTTTGAAGGGAAGACAGGAAGGGGTAAGACAAGGCTGTCTACTATCACCGATGATCTTCCTGATTGGGTTGTCGTGGACTGGATTGGATCATGAAGTAAGCTGTGATGAGTGGAAAGAGTGGCATACGCTGTTTGACCAATGTTAAGACTCTAGAAGATTTGGATTTCGCCAACGATGATGATTTATTCCTAATGTCGTGTAGCACAAAGTCGAAGATCTACAGGCAAAAACCACCAGGTTGGCAGAAGAGGCGAGACAGCTAAGGAAGATGGGACTTCCTTCAGGTGAACGTAGAGAAGACGCAGGTGATGAAGATATCCAACCAACAACAACAACAACGACAACAACAAGCACCAATCACCATCAACTGGAGAAACTTAAACGAAGTTGTCTCTTTCACGTAACTAAGCAGGCAGCATCGCTTCAACTACTGGCGGCGGTGGTGGCTGCGGTGCATAGATGAGGATGTCAAAGCCAGGATCGGAAAGACAGCAAGACAGAACTTCCTGCATTAATCTGAAATAATCAGTGTGGAGATCTACTCCACTGCATTCCACTCAGCATAAAGCGAGAACGAGATACAGATTTCCAATACTAACGTCAGTCAAGTAAGTCAGTGCTGCCATGTGATGATTGAGAGTTGGCGCGTTACGAAAAGCATTTCCAACAAACTACAGACATACATCACATCAACAGCTGCCACTTACACTCACTCGGTACTGACACTGAAGATTAGATGGATGGCCAGAATAATAAGAATAAGCAACACGGAACTCACTCTGGCTGGTTGGCTAGCTACCAACGAACCAACCAAGAACCCATCGCTCAACATATATGCAGAAAAAGGTGGAGATAGATTGGATTGGACATATACTGAGAAGAACATTTTGAGACATTAAGCACCAGGCTAGACCAGACTGTTGAGTGGAAGCCAAATGAGAAACGATGAGTTGGGGGTCTGAGGCGAGGGTGACATGGAGGAGTTTGTGTGGAGAAGAAATGAAAGCTTGTGGGGAGTCTTGGAGGCCGCTTGAAAAGACTGTAGAGAATAGAGTGAAATGGCGACTTGCTATTGAATTCCAATGTCTCACTAGGAACGCCAGAGATAAATAAATACATAAAAATAACAAAGTGATACAACGCACTTTACCTGATGATATTTCGAGCATTAGCTAATGCTCAGAATCATATTAAAGTTATCTCACTACTTTCGATATCTCATTTTTATAATTCTGAATAGAACAACTACAACAGATTCAGTAGAATAGCATGGACCCATTTTATTTCGTGGTTTACCATCAGCTGCTTACAACCTAGAACAATTTCAACATCAATACATCATATAAAATGTTTGCATACTCGAATCAGTTTGGTAGAAAACTGTCGACTTGAATTATTGGTTACCTCGATATGAAATAATTGAAAACACATGAATTGAGTAAACAAATATACAGAGATAAGTCTGCCAATATATTGAAGAGAACTAGACGAATATTTAATGAGGAAAATTTATAAGAGGGGGAGACCAGCGAATCGAAAGTGTTGAAGAAGCCCATTGGCTAGTGGAATCGGTGGATCCCATTAGCAGACGATTCCGTAAGTATTCCTTAAAAAAATACATTTGAAGTAATCAAATACCTTGATGATATCAACATATAAATTAAATTTATGTGTTCATTTGAAGTTCACCCACTATTAACCAATGTCATGTTGGTCAAGGCAACTGATATTCTATGTGGTTATATTTCTGTGCATAATTTTTCAATACCCATTTCTTTAGAACACTTTAAAGAGCTACTACTTTTATGCCTAATCAATATTAAATTAGCATTCCAGGGTGGAGATTTCTGTCAGGTTGATTGTGTTGCCGTGGGAAGTCTCTTGGACCCCTTTTTAACAGATACTTATGTCACATGTGTGAAACTTAACTAGGAACTTAATTAAGAAAGCCCACGTATATCGAAGATATGACGAGGATATCTTAATCGTTTGTGATAACTCAAGTCAGTCCCCTTCAATTCTAAACCGACTGAATGAAATGCAAAGCAGCATATCTTTTACATATTTAGAATAGGACGATGACTACTTGCTTTTCTTGGACACACTAACTAGTCGGCGGCAGAAGAGATTCATAAAACCACCTATCTATAGGAAAAGGTATATCGATATGACGATTTTTGAACTATCATGGCTTTTATTCCATCTAGGGATATGTGGAGGTTTAGTAATTGATTTTAGGTTGGAATTCAACATGGACTGACATCAGTTGGAAGAACATTAGAAACCTGGGAGCACTGGACAGTCAACTGTTTCGTCTTAATGTAGGACTCCGCAGTAGTGTGCACACACGATCCCACCCCAACAGGGATCGAACTCAGGACCTTCAGGTCCCGTGAGCAGGATGCTACCATTGAACTACTGGGTCGGAATCCAATGATCCACATTTCCTACTTCTGTTAGTTCACGATATGGCGTGACCTACATCCAATGTCGTCGCTGAGTAATTGTCCTCATGTTCAACTTGGTTGACTCCACTGGTCACGACTTCTCATTGGAACTTCGAGAATCACCTCTTGAAGCTGGTCATCAGTGACCGCTAGATTAATCCAATCTGGAGGATTGTGGAGGTTTAATAATTGATTTTACGTTGGAGTCAACCAATTCGAACATGACGACAGTTAACCAACTACGACATTTGATGTAGGTCACGCTACATCGTGAACTGACAAAGGTAGGAAATACGAATCATTAAATTCCAACCTAGTGGCTCCATAGTAAGGTGCTGGCCATGGAACCTGAAGGTCCTGGGTTCGATGCTTGACGGGCAGGGTCGTGGATACGCACCGTTGAGGTGTCCCACACTAGGACGAAACAGTTGACTGTCCAGTGCTCTCAGGTTTCCAACGTTTCTCCAACTGATATAGTTTCTTTAGTCCAGTTCTTTAAAAGCGAGATTTAGTTAGAATTTAATGAATATGCACAGGTGATACTTTGAAAGATGCAGTTTTAACACCTAGAATTAGTGATTCAAAGAACTGAAATTCTAGTCGATAGTGGTATTTACATCTTCTATAAATGTGTAATTAGATCGCTTACACTTGTGATTCAAAGAGAAAGAAGGTGAAACTTTATTAGCAAAATGGCAAACATGATTATTTGAAAAATGGTTAGCGTTCAACATAACAAACAAGTTCCAACGAACAAACAGTATGAATGATGAATGAAACACTTTTGAATGTGTTCAATTTGTCTAAATGTTCAATGTTTCAATTGATCAGTTATCATCTATTTGATTTGTCATCTGTTTCAGTTGTTCTTCACTGTCACTTTTAACTATTCCATCAGGTGTCTTGATAATTGGATTAAGCAATTTATCAGACAATTCACTGATGACATCAAATGCATATTGAATTTGCTGTTTATTAGGTGAATGGTAACAGATAGCGAAACGAATAAAGTATAATGGTTCAGGTGAATAAAATTCAGATGGTACTAGATGTATCCTACCATCAGCTTCAATGTTACGATACAGTTGCTTTGTTAGTTCATTATTATTCTAGGAGAAAAGAATAAAGAAGAGAAAAGAATAATTTAAAGACTTCTTTGCCTTAAAACTAGTAAATCACTTAGTCTGACATTTATTTGAACAATACAAGAACAAATTGTGTAGAAGTATACAATTTCGAGTTAAATAATAACAGAAATCCATGCATCACAAACATCGAATATGATTACATCGGGCTGAAATGAAGTTACCGACAGTATATCAATCGGTGAGATAGACACTGATGTGTAAAGTGTTAAGATAGAAGAGACCGTAATGATGGACAGTGGCTAGCAGTGGAATCCAAGATGCGCACTTTGTCTTATTTGGGACTCATCAGCTGGACGTACCTGCTTCACAGTGAGTGATGTTGTTCCTACCGTGATTCGAACTTGGGAACGACCGCTTTAAACGCCAGAGTGTTATCCACCACACCACCGAGCCATGATACCCACGTCTTATGCAATGAGTATAGTTTTAGTGCTATCGTTGACTGGACCGAACTGATCAGTCTCCGTTGGCATATGGGCTCCTACGCGGATGCCTCGATATTGCCTATGTTCTTAATTGTATAGTAATGATGGATAGTGGTTAGCAGTGGAATCCAGGATGGGTATTTCGTCCTCTTTGGAACACGTCAGCATTACTATATAGTCAAAAATACAGACAACATCGAGGCATCCCTGCAGGAGCCCATATGCTTATAGAGACCTATCAATTCGGTCTAATCAACGACAGTATAATATAAACAATAACACTAAGCAGAAGAGATCATTGAGAATATGAGAGGAAGATTGACCACTCATAGGATAAACAGGTAAATATTCTTGGGATTGAAAGTTCAGAGATGGATGGAAACCCCAATTGACAGGAAAGAAAATAATTACAGAGACTGAATAACTGCAAAAGCGCTTTAAATTTACGGATGCTTCGGCAGATACAAACTTAGGGCTGATTATCACATAAGCATTTCCTAATAGTAGATAACCATATTATATTGCAGTCTATTTGTTGGCTAATATGGGAGTCCAAGATTCATGTCTCGTCCTGTTTGGGACTCGTCAGCCGGATACATCCGTTCCTCAGTGAGTGACGTTGTTCCCACGGAGACTGGAACATAATATCCACCACTTTGAATGCCAAATAGTTATCCTCTTGGTCACTGAGACACAATAGCCACCTCTTGCACAAAGAGTGTCAGTTGCTGTTATTTTACTTGTAATCACCGGTTGATGTACAGGGTTGGATCGCTGTAACTGTAACTGTAACACAGGAAATGTTTACGTCACAGCCAACCCTAAGTTTGCATCTGAACGGCGCCCATCTTACCTTTCAAGCTCTTGCGAATTGAAGGTATGCTTGCATTTACACAGTCTGTGAGAACTATTTTCTGTTTCCAGTCCATTGCAGTTTCTATGCAACCCTCAACCATCTCCTCTAAGAATATTCATTCTCTGATATCAAAGAATTCCTAGAAGCTTGGCATTGACATCAGTTAGCACTCAACAGATGTATAGGCATAGACCCAATCTATCAACCAATAAGGGAAATGATAAACAACAGAAACGTCAGAGGTTAGACAGAGGAGCGGCCTACAAGAAAACCTGTGCAGTCAGTGACACAACAAACTAAGGAAACAACCAATCACAAACCAGTTGGTCAGAGCAAGCTACTGAATCACTCACAGGCAGACAATGACAACTCACTTCATGCTGAAGTTAGTGGTGATGATGTCGTCTAGAAAGACGATGAAAGCTCCACGATTAAACAGCTCAGCTCAGATAACACAATACAGCAAAGGCGATCTACCTGAGCTACAAATATTCTTCACAATAGTTTATGGTCATCTCTTTGGCATTACACCAGACCTAATGGGCCTAGCCGAAGACGTGATTCAGTCCAGACACCAAAAATAATACACAAGCTTGCCCAGCCACCTGTCGGATATGAAATATACCGTTGCAAATTTGAACGGCATTCAGACTTAGAGGAGTTCAGTTTTAATTCCTCAGATGGTAGCTTCGCACCATTGGCCTTTCGACCAGGTAAGTATACCAATTACCTGAACCGATGATTCCTCTCAAACTAAACAGGATTATCGTAGCAACTGCCAGATGTTCCTTCACTGATAAAAGTAATCATCAGTAGGGTAAAACTAACCTGTCTCACGACCTAAACCCAACTTAAGTTCCTTATTAGTGGGTAAATAATCCAGCGCTTGGTGAATTCTGCTTCACAATAATAGGAAGAGCTGATATCAAAAAGCGACGTCTTTATGAACGCTTGGCTGCCACAAGCCAGTTATCGCTGTGACAACTTTTCTGACACCTCTTTCTTCAAGCTCCGAAAATGAAATTCAAAACGATCGATGGGTCACGCTTTCAAGATCTGTATTCGCACTGAAAATCATCAGGGTGAAGACATCCGTGTGGTTACGCTACAGGATGAGAATGTAAACTGTCCTGGTTTTGAAAAGTTTAGATGTGTGTTCCGTTCTCTTCTGAAAACCAATGTGTAAGTATCCTTTCAAACCGTGGGTATGTATTATACTGTGAATATCATGCTATAATAATACATTTGTTGTTCTTGTACTGTCGCATTTCATAAAGGGAAAGAATTGCATAATAATTAGTTTTTAAACCTAACTAAACTGGAGATTATAAAGATGGTTTATCTATTCAGTTTTCCATATATTCGAGTGACTTTCTATATCTCCCGCTAGTTTGGAAAATTCCATTTATATTGGGTGATGATTGAAGGTAAGATAAAAATTTGGACCGTGGTTGGATTCGAACCAGCGACCACCGGGTTTCCGGCGCGATACTCCACCAACTGAGCTACGAGGTCTGATTGCTGACCAGATCTTTATTTCATTTCAATCACCAAGGGTTTCACCCGACTACGATGTGAATTCATGACGCGTTACTACCTCTTGATAGTACTCACACTGGCTACCTAGTCAGGACGTCTCATCCCAATCCAAATCTAACTGAATTAGAGAGGGGGAGCATCATATTGATCATCATTTATCCTCTCAGATAGCCGTAGTTTGACAGACTGAAGGTTCGAATCCTGCTGTGGTCCAAATTTTCATCTTACCTTAAATCATCACCTAATATGAATACTAGTCTGCCAAACTACGGCTATTCCAGATTTTCAAATGACAATGAAAACTCTATTTAATGAATAGTATCTTGATGTTTGACAATGACGTTAATTTTTCCCCAAGCTAAAACTTCTCTAGGAATGTAGACCACTGAATAATAATGATTGGGAGAGATATCTATCTATTATTCGCTTGGCTACTGGGGTAGTGACAATTAGTAGTTCTTCTCACAGTTTTGTTGTGCGACCTTCTCAAACCAGATCATGACTGTGATCAGTATTCTAATATGTGAATTTATATCAGTCTTTTAAGATGACGTTACACATACAGTAGAAATGTCCTAGTCTATGGTTTTTATTCTTTCAGTTTTCTAACGATGTTCACAAGGGACAATAACCTCGCCTGGTTAACCAGTTCACAAATATGCAGGAAAAGTGAAGATGGATTGGCCATACACTGAGAAGGCCGACTAAGGATATCATGTACCAGGCCCTCGAGTGGAACCCAGAGGGAAACGACGAGTTGGGCGTCCCAGCCGGGGGTGACATGGTGGAGGTGGTATGAGGAAGAAATGGAAGGGTTTGGGCAGTCGTGGTGCCAAGTCCAAAAGACTGCAGAGAACAGAGTGAAATGCAGGTGTGCTACTGAAGCCCTATTTCCACTAGGAAACCGAGGGAGAGATAATAATAATAATATACAAGGGACAGTAGAATTAACACTCACAAAACCCGAGTTCCTGGTAGATATTTACCGAGAAACTTGGGGATGTCCACAAAACCTGGATAATGACTATCCAGGTAACCGAAAACACTATAATTAACGTCACTAGATCTCTTGAAGTCAGAATTAATCTGGCATCATAATAAGCACAGACAAATACCTGTTGCATGAAAAACTTATTGCTATAGCTCTACAAACATTAAGTTACCGGCCTTCATATCCATGAATCACAGCACTAAATATATCTATGAGATAAACAGTTGTATTTCATAATACTTATGTATGAAAAAAAGAGGATGATTCCATCTAAATGATGCACTTACTGTCGGAAACGGTTGTGTTGTTGCATATATATAAGGTAGTCGGATGATGTGACCAAGACTAATCAGATGTACAATATTTTTGATGTAAATTCTTTATCTGACACATTTTTGGGGGTTATGGAATCACAAATATTTCTTCTACCTTAACATCATACAATATGATAATATAATAAACATATTACAGCTTATTCAAGAGACTGTATAGTTTGTTGATAAGGTGTATCATAGCCAAGTTGTGTGCCGGTGAACTTAGATAATAAAGGTCAGAACAAATCAAAATGGTCAATTTGAGACTACTTTTAAATGAGCCGCATCAAGTTTCCAGTTTGCAACTAACCATCACACCCAAATTACTTGGGGTGCTTTCTTACAACTCACGCTACTACTACTACTACTACTACTCACACTATTACTACTACTACTACTACTCACACTACTACTACTACTACTCACACTACTACTATCACTACTACTACTACTACTCACACTATTACTACTACTACTACTACTCACACTACTACTATCACTACTACTACTACTCATACTATTACTACCACTACTACTACTATCACTACTACTACTACTACTCGTACTATTACTACCACTACCACTACTACTACTACTACTACTGCTAATCACACTACTACTACTACTACTACTGTCTTCTCAATTAGTTTCCTTGGTTCTCTTTTTCTCCTGATGTTTTTTATTCCTCTTCATGTTTGTAAAATGTGGCAAAACTAAATTGCCATACCATCATGACAGATATCCTGTTACTTGTTTTTATTAGTTTGTTTTATCTACAAAACACCATCTTGATGTCTTTCAAAACTATTTTGTTCTTTAAAATGTTGACTTGTTATTAGAAATGACACAATATCTCCAATTAATTAATGCTGATAACTGTATTATATATCAACTAACCTTCAGTCGAAAACAGACCAAACCAAGCACAACTTCAGCAATAATTTCAAAGCGAGAGTCATCTCGCATCAGTTCTTCAAAGTAGTGAGCCAACTGTATATGCTGAAATTAAAAGATAAAAAGTTAACCAATCCCTGAAGAGAAGAATACTACCACCTACATTACGAATATATGCTTGTAGCCTTTTGACACCATATCTTCTTAAGGTAAACCAGATCTTCAAGGAACGAAATCTTCTACCCAGAGGAATATGCATGTGCTGCAAAGAAAAGAAAGAATTTATAATAATAGTAAGCGGAATTAGTATAGTTATTGTCTAGTAGAGTTTTTTGAAGTCTTATAATCTTCTTTACGTTATACACTGAAAGTTGATGATACCGGTCAACGAATTTAGAACGAAACGCAGGTTAGCACGATATTGTATTTGTACTAAATTTCTAGTATATTATTTTGTCCTTTGAGTCCCTAGTGGAACATTCGGCTTCAGTAGCACGTCGTCATTTCACTATCTTTTCTGCAGTCCTCTTAACCTGGCTCCATGACTGACCACAACCTTTCATTTCTTCCTCACATGATCTCCTCCATGTCACCCTTGGCTGGGATGCCCAACTCGTCGCTTCCTATTTGGCTTCGACTCGAAGGCCTGGTGAATTACGAGTAGAAATTACTAATTCAAGACATACAGACATGAAACCAACGTAGAGCCTTGCACACAGGTGCATCGGTTCAAGTTGCGGCAATTCATAGGTGGACAGAAGGCGGCTAATACCAAAGTAGACAAAGTTGTATGATAGAATAAACAATCTGACGATAAAGGTTAGTGCAAATATTCAAGCTTTATCAGAAGCCAAACAGTGAATACATCTATGCCATTGTGACCGATTTTCAGCCATGTCACCAAAAGTCCTCAACCACTGATTCCTTTAGTCTCGTGGACCCCAGCTAGCCAGCTATGTGGCTCACACCAACAGATAGGGATTTCATCGACTACGGTCACATCTCGATCTCACTACCTCGAACTCTCCTCCAACCTGATCTAAATTCCCCTAGTATAGCGCGTCAAGCAAACGATATGTCGCCGTGTACATTGCACGCCCAAGTTATCTCAGTCGAATAAGCTTCACAACCTTATAAATCGACTCACCTGTCTTCCACAAGACCCAGTACCTCATCATTGCTCACACAGTAAGTCCACGAAAAGCCATCAGTGTTGCAAAAATATCTGTGATCAAAACCCTGTAACCGCCTCATGTCTTCTACTTTTAACGGTCATGGCTCACAGTCGTACAACAGGACAGAACAGACTGTAATGCAGCGCACTCATCGGATACCTTGTCAGTTGGTTACATAAGTTGGCAAATGCCAAAGGGGCTTTCTGTATCCGAGCTGAGATTACGTTAGCAACCAGCCTGTTCAAGCTTAGGTAACTCCTCAAGTGACGTGGTCGAAATATTCCACCACTTTACCCCCCATCATTTCACTGGAGATGATTTTAGACCAGTCCTAGTGTGAAATGCGTGAAAAATGCACTCAGATTTCTGTTGAACGCGTTCATTTGTCAGGATTTTCACCTAACAAGACATTACTCCAAGTTAATCAGATGACCTTAAGAGAGTAGGTCAATCCTCGTGAATTCAAAGGTGTCTAAGGTTATGCTCATTAGTACGTCTATAATGAAGTTAATTAGAAATAGTGACAGTAGGCATCCTTGGCGGACACCACCAGTTGTCGTCAACTCTAGTGAAAACTCTCAGGAAACCCTAAAACGGCTACTTGAATTCAACTGGGGAAATCTACCATTATTACTGAATTGTTATTGAATTTTGGGGGAGTTGTAGAGATTTGGAAATATTTCAAGTTGTTATTCATCGCAGACTGACATCAGTTGGAGGAACAAAGGAAACCTGGGAGCACTGGACAGCTGTTTCGTCCTAGTATGGGACTCCTCAGCAGTCCACATCCACTACCCCACCAAGGATCGAACCCGCGACCCTCAGGTTCCGTGGCCAGCGCTTTAACATTGAGCTACTGCGTCAGAATCCGATACTCCATATTTCCAACTTCTTTTAGCTCACGATAAGACGCTCACTGATGGCTAGCTTCAAGAAGTATTCCCGAATTTCCAATGAGAAGTCGTGACCGGTGGAGTCAAAGCCTGATGGTCGTGAGGACAGTTACTCAACGATGACATTGGGTAGCGGTTGCGCTACATCGTGAGACAACAGAAGTTGGAAATATGGAGTATTGGATTCTGACCCAGTGGCTCAATGGTAACGCGCTGGTCGCGGGTTCGAGCCCTAATGGTGTCGTGGATGTGGACTACTGAGGAGTCCCATACTAGGACGAAACAGCTGTCCAGTGCTCCCAGGTTTCCTTTGTTCCTCCAACTGATGTCAGTCTGCGATGAATAACAACTTGAATTGTTATTATTGCGATAATTTTTCATTAATACATTACAATCGCCAATACAACCGCCACACCCAAAATACTCAATCAGGCCTTACAGACTATTTTTATATTAAAAAGTTACAATGAAACTAACATTTAATGGGATTTTCATCCAATTATGTCTTTCGGGAGTAAAATATATTCGTTTCTAAACATGCAGGTGATGAAATTTAATTAAAATCAACAAAAATCTTGAAGATAAACTAATTTCACTATTTGACAAGATAAAATCGGTTTCTTTCCAATGACTAATCAGTGTAATCAGTCCATTTCAGTCGCATCGGATGTCAACCGTGGCTCAAATAACTCATTGGTAACATCTCTAGCTGTAGCACTGGGTGACGTGGGTTTCGACCTCAGTAGGGACATCAGTTCCCTTATGGTTACGGCCATACCTTGCTACTAACTGCTGACAAGCACAAAAGTAGTTTTAGAGCTTCTTGACAGTCGTTCCCAACCAACTAATACCTACTAAAATGCTCTGCGATGATGAGTCACGCAGCTTTGAGGTCACACTGTGAAAGCCATTGATGGAATTTAGCCAGAATTCAGCTTTAAACAGGGTGAAATTACCTACTGTTCAATGACTGGTCAACATATCTGATGTCTGATGCTTTGATCATCTCGATCTGGTTTGTGAGAACCAATGACTGATGTTTTTCCTCTCCAACTACTCACAGCGCTAAGTAGTATTCACTTGGTCTCTCTCCCACGTTTATTCTTTACGCCTTTTAAGGATGTCAAGCAAGTCAAAATCTATTATCTAATTGTCTGGATTTTCACATAAAACTCATGGCCAAGCCATATTTTCTGATGAGCCTCATTTATGTTATTCTAAGCACAAATGAACGCAGTTTGGACATCGTAATATATAAATTTCACCCGGTAGTTGTACTACTATTTGTAGACCGAGTATGTTCTTTGAAATCCATCTTTTTTGTACATACAAAACTTTTATGCTGGCCGAAAATACTCGCTAAATGAATAATCTCGCGAAGACCATCATCATCAACATCAACATAAGACCAGGCATTACTGCGTAACCATCCGAGTTACCACACCTCATGTCAGTACATCAAGTAAAAAGGCGGTCAAGTGGAAGATGAGGAAAAGAAAACTCAGTCAAAAGAAATATCAAGTACGAAAAGAGAGAGAGGAAGAATGAGAAAATGGTGAGACTTATGTATAACGTCTTTAAGATGAGGGTAATGTGTGCATGCATCTGCGCTACTGACTTCGATCATGAGCCAAGTGACCACCTAGAGTCTTCAACCACTGGTTCCTCTTTTCTCGCTGACCCCAACCACCCAGTCTGCATCACCCTACATGACTCAAACCAATAGTCAAAGACTTCATATATTCATGCCATTTTTTAGTCTGGCCACCTCGGGCCTTTTACCATCCTGAACCTACTTCAACCAACATTGTGTGACGAGGCAGACGGCAACTAGACATGCGTAACACGTGTCCCAACCACCTCAGTCAATGAAAGTTCCCAACCGTGTCAACTGGTTTACCTCTTCTTCCTAAAACTCTACACCTGACTTCTGCCTTACTCACTTGGTGCGGTGACACCAAGGAATATGGCCTATACTACGAAGGCAACGGTAATCAAACACTTGAAGCCTTCTTATGTCTTCCACCTTCAATGGCCATGTTTCACAGCCATACAATAGAACAGATCGGACTGTTGTGCAGTACACGCGACCCTTAGTAGACAATCGGATATCACGGCGGCACCACGGGTGGCGTATATTCGCAAAAGTCAGTCGAGCCCTTTGTATCCGTGCCGAGATTTCATCGGCAACTGACCCACCAACGTTGATCCCACTTCCCAGTTGAGTGAAATGGTCGACACACTCAACCACTACACTCTCCATTGTTAGCCGCGACACTGTTGAAGACCAATCCTGGAGAAACAATTTGCATTTGGGTGGTGAGAAATGTAATCATTCCCAAGCATTCTCAAACTGCTACTCAAAGTGTTCAGAAGACTCTGCATCTTGTCAGCATCTTCACCTAACAGGACCATGTCATCTGCATATTATGGGTCTAGCGAAAATTCTCATGAGATTAGGTCAACCTCTGTGTAATCAGGTGACGAGAGGGAGACCTTCATAAGAATATTCATGATAAAATTGAATCGGAATGGAGATAGTGAGCAACCTTGACGGTCACCACTCGACGATCACAGTTCTCCGGATATCTCACCATAGGCTCTAACGCGCCCACAAGTTTTCAGTAAGGTGATGTACTTACTCGGCACGCCTTTCAGTGAGAGACATTGACATACGACTTCTCGATCAACGTAGTCGGATGCCGCCTTCAGGTCGAAAAACACAGCTATTGTTGGGCGTCGGTATGCGTGTCTGTGTTCCAGAGCCTGGCACAGTGTGAATACTTAATCAAAACACCCACGGCTGGGCTTAAAGCCTGCCTGGTTTTCTCGGGCTTGCTGTTCCTGAGCTCTACTAAGGCTTCGGAGAAGTATGGAACCTAGGATCTTGGACACTATGTTCGTCAGGCTGATTCTTCTGTGGTTATCACAAGAGGACTTCTCGCCTTTCTTAAAGACTGGAATAATCAGTGATCGATCTCATAAAGAAAGATAACGTGATTCCTGATTGAGAAAAAATACCAACCATGAAACTAACAAGATGTTCAATGTGGTATACTGCATACTGTGTTCTGTATTTTGACTGCCTGAAATCATTATTGACGTAAACATTGTGGCAAGACTAAAACTGCTTGATCTTCAACATATTCATAGTTTCTCTTCTGTTCGCTGCATAAACTAAAATTTGGTTGTTCGGTTGTCAGACAAGAACAGAGATTAGTTGATGAACTCACACTCTCTTTCTTCTTACGAAACGCTAGTCTCATTTTTGTACTCACTTGTAGATTGTCTTCGTTTCTATCCGTCTTCTGATTTAGAGTATGTTAAATTAATGTTCGACTCTGCACTTTTTCGCTCGCCAATTCATTCATCTACTCCTTGCAAATAAATAACTACATCTCTTGAGTTAGCTGAAATGTACAGTGAAGCACTCTATTCTATATTTACTTTACTTGATGCTTTTGACCCCTACTAATATAATAACTGGTAGAAATGGTTACAGAGAGAGAATAAAAGTAGTTTACTTAAGGGTTGTGAAAGATACAAAGTGCAAATCAAGCAATCAGTAGATTTCATATAATAAAGTTAAGTGAATCCAATAATGATCAGTCCTTTCTGTGGCTTATCAAATCTGGATATGAATATGTTGAAAAATTACCATCTATACCTCCATCTATATGGGTTGGTTGGATTTTTTCTACCTGGAAACTGTAAGTGTGGAAGTCAGTTGTTCGGACGTTATCAGAGGAAACCCCCTCTTAGCTAAATGAGTTTCCAGCTTGTTGACATTCTTAAGCGAGGCATATCTCCAATGCTGAAGGAATTGATGTTCCCTATGAGATATAAACCCGTGTCACCCCCTGTTGAAGTCAGCAGCGTTACTACTATGCTATTTGGGCAGCGACTGATCTTCTGTTGGACTGGACTAAACACATTGATTGATCACTGGAGAGTAACCAATTTCATGTTGTCTAGTTGTGAGTACTGACTCATTTCTGCTGATCATTTTCAGAATGCGGACATCAAGTTAGGAGGCTTACCATCACTGTGTACTCTGATCTACGTTAATTGATTACAGGTGGTCGGTAACTTCGCCTACTACAACAAGGGGTGACGTAGGTTCAAATCCCACAGGGACATCAATCCCCCTCGACGTTGAAGATACGCCTTGCAGACGAGTACCAACAAGCACGACACGCAGGTCAGAGGCTTTTCTGTAAGTCAGTCAGTCAAACATCTAGTTTGTCAAAATAAAGATAAGTGTCTGTTTTATTTGGTTGCGGCTGGCAGAAGAATCCAGAACGCACGTTTCGTCCTAGTTCGGACTCGTCAGCTGGATACTTGTCAGCTAATAACCGTTGTAAAAGAGGTGGCTATCGTGCCTCCGTGGCCTATTAAATAAGACTTTAGCATTCGAAGCGATGGGTACGAGGTTTGAGTCTCAGTGTGAATAAAGTTACTCACTGGGGTGCAGGTACATCCAGCTAATAAGTTCCAAATGGGACGAAACGTGCGTCCTAGATTCATCTGCTAGTCGAAACCAAACAAATCACCACGATTACCAGTCAGGCAATATTGAGGCATTCTCATATGAACTCATATGCCAATAGAGGTCGAACAATTCGATACGATGAAACAATGGAGAATTAAAAGTATATCAATAAATAGTAATAAATGTCTGTTTTGCTGTATATATTAGTGATGTTACTAGAGAATCCCGTAATTCATCATGAGTGTATTGTAGCTACTGGAGTCTCTGGTTAGAATTTCATGCCTATATGAATAAGTTCTGTTGATAAACTGTGACATTTTAAAGCTAATCGCTTTTGATTTCTGAGGTTTATTTCATTCGTACATTTACAGTCACATCAAAGATGGAAACCTGCACTGAAGATGACGCTTGGGAAGTGTTGATTCTTTCAACAACAGTAGATAAGAGAACAGTTTCATTCAACAAATATTCTACTACCATCTAAACATGAGTAACGCAATCCTTATCCAGATATCCTGAACCTGTGCAACAAACAATATTCTATCTGGAGGTTTTTGGGGAATTGGTAGCTGGTTTTAGGCTGGACTGACATCATTTGGAGGAACACTGGAAATCTGGAAACACCAGACGCCCGTTACGTCCTAGTATGGGACTCCTTATCAGTGCGTACCCATACCCATGACCCCACCCCACTGGGGATCGGACCTAGGGCCTTCAGGTCCCGTGACCAGCACTGGGTTGGAATCCAATGGTCCACACTTCTTACTTCTGTCAGTTCACGATATAGTGCTAGCTAATCTAGAGCTCATTGTTAACTAGCTTCGAGAGGTGATTCTCAAAGTCCCAATGAGAAGTCGTGACTAGTGGAGCCAACCGAGTCAAACATGAGGATAATTACTCAACGACGAAATCGGATGTAGGTCACACTATATCGTGAACTGACGGAAGTAGTAAATGTAGAGCACTGGATTTCGATGCAGTGGCTCGATGGTAATGTGCTAGCTACGGAACCTGAAAGTCCTGGTTTCGAACCCAAGTGGGGTCGTGGGTACGCACTACTGATGAGTCCCATACTAGGACAAAACAGCTGTCCAGTGCCTCCAGGTTTGCAATGTTCCTCCAACTGATGTCAGTCCTTGATATATTCCAACCTGAAAACTGATAATATATATTATTCAAATGCAATCCAACACTATATTTCATCATCCAACAGTGATGATTGTTGGTTACCTGTTATTTCATCCTTTTCAGGCATTACACTTAGCTTTATCAAATGTTTAATTAAATTTTCAGGTTCTTATATATGAGAAAAAGGTTTATAAAGTAAATATTTTGGAACTCCTACTCGAAAATCGACGACATCTTCTTGATGTTCATGCTTTAGGTATGGTGGATCAACATGAAACGAATTTTTGATCCAGTTCGCTTCACGATACCTGAAAAGTAAGTGAAATGAAATGACAGTTTATTAGACATATACATATTTTTTTCCTTAGCCAACAAAAAAATAAGCAAGTTACATTCTTTCTAAGTGGTCATTCAGAAACGTAAGAGATAAACTGAGTAGGAAATCTATTTCTGTCTATATTCTAAAATGTTTCAGCAAAGATAAAGTCAAAATAATGAATGATTGTATCGTAAAACAGAAGAGAACATGAGAAGAAGATAAGTGAATGACCGTACACTTTAACTGATGAAAAGAAAAGACGTACCGAAACTGAACAACATGAAATTGAACACGAATAGGCTACTTCAAGAAGTTAAATCAAATATCGGCAGCTCAACTCGGTTCATCCTCAAACTTAAGTCATACATGCCTTCCAGACCCACGGTCTGCCTAAGATTCACAAGCATTCCATTCCATTGAGACCAATTGTGGACTCCACCAACACACTAATATACAACCTCTCTAAATATCTGGCTTCATTAGTTAAACCCTTACAAAAGCATTCAGGACACACAATAAAGGACTCACTTGATTTTAAGTCCAAAATATCTTCAATTAAAATTGAGGAAGATGAAATTAGGGTAAGGCATGATATCAATTCTTGATATACTAGTATTCCAACTAATGATAGGGTAGATATTATTTCTAATTTATTAGACTCAGACACATCACTGACAGAAGGATGTCAACTGCATATCAGTGATATTATCAAGGTCCTAAAATTCTGCTTAGAGACTACTTACTTCACATATAAATGAAAACTATACAGGTAAACTAAATGTGTTGCTATAGTTTCACTTGTTCCAACCATGGTAAATTCGAAGAAAGTGTTTCTACTCACTTATTAAAGCCAAAAATTTGTCTGAGACATATTGATGATACATTCGTAATTTTAAAACGTGACTTATATCAAACATTCTTAGATCAACTAATTTTTAGATCGACTTGATTCATGCTCAGCTCAGAAAAAGAAACAGACAATGCTGAAAGGCTCTTCCTTGATTTTTTTGTTAAGTGGAAAGAAAATAGACACTTAAGGATAAACATTTTTAGGAAAGCAACGAATTTGTACAAATATTTACATTTCAACTGATAACATCCAATTAGTACGAAAGTTTCTGCTGCCGCCTCTGGTCTTTTAAGCAGAGCACACACTCTAGTAACGTATGAAAATGAAAGAGTTAAGGAATTACACAATGTGAACAAGATAGTTAAGATGAATAACTGTTTACAAAATAGAAAATAACATTAAATTAGATCATGGGCTCCAACAATGGTTATCCCTTACAGATTACACACATCGATGAAATTATGAGAGTCCTCAACAAATACAATATCAGAGTGTTCTCCAGAACATCAAGCACACTGCAGAGGACCGTATTTGATTTGAAGGATGAGATCCTTCTAGATTCACAATCTGATTATGTTTGCAAAGTAAAATGCTGAGACTAGGATGCAATATACATAAGACAAACTCCCCATGAAAGCAAAATTAGAAGAAAAAGAACATTGACGAGCTTCAACTCGATCCCTTAGAAATTCACTGGAACTAAAAAAGCTTGAAAACAATTCAGCTGTAGTTTTACACGTTATAATTTCAGGTGAGAAGGTTTATTTTGAGAATATCGAAATTATTCACTAAGGCTTTAGAAATTACAAAGAACTTCTCATAGCAGAATTTCTTCACATGTAGAGTGGAATCATAATTGTCGAACTAGAAATGAATGAGGGAGTAAAAGGTACTTTGACCTAGTCTCAACCCACCCCCACATACTAAAATAACCATCATACATACAATAAGAACTATCAACACACACAAATTCATACACAACACACTACATATGGATATCATCTTCATTCTACAATGCTGATAATGCAGAATCACTCATGAAGGAGAACACTTGTCAATCTATCATATATAAGCTTGAGGGATATTGTAAATTCCGGTTTACTGTAACTCTGACAAACCTATTAGTGGCATTAAATGGTGAAACATCAATTGAAACAGATTCATTTTGTTTTCCATTCTCATTGAAAAATACAAATACCAAAATAATGAATATCATCTACTCATCACCCAAATTTGTTCAAACTATCAAATCCCAACTTGGTTTGGACATCTATAAACTGTCAGTATATTTTAATTATATATAGTAATGATGGATAGTGGCTAGCAGTGGAATCCAGGATGGATAGTTCGTTCTATTTGGGACTCATCAGCTGGATGTACAAGCAATTATACTAAAACTATACCCATCGCACAAGAAGTGGCTGTCGTGGTTCGGTGGTGTGGTGGATGCTGCTCTGGCGTTTGAAGCGATCGCTCATGAGTCTGAGTCCTGGTGGGAACAACACTCACTGGGAGGCAGGTATATCCAGCTGACGAGCATTAAATAGGACAAAATGCGAATCCTGGATTCCACTCCTAGCCACTATCCATCTATACTACAATTAGAATACAAGTAATATCGAGGCATCCATACAGGAGCCCATATGCCAATAGAGACCGATCAATTTGGTCCAATCAGCGACGGTATAGTGCAAGCAATTATACTATCAGTATGTTTGTATGGTCGTGAAGTATAGTAGCGAATAGTATACGCTAATTTTCATTATCAATCAAATGTATAACGCTACCAATTACAAATTAGGTATTGTTGATTGATTTTGTAATTTGAAAGCAATTTAGTACAAATCATTGATTAGATTATAAGTACTTTTATTTGATTCTGCTCACTATTACAATAAGTAATGAATATCTGAAACGTACACAATCATCCAATAGGAATCGCATAATTTATCACGTGATCAGTCAACTAATTTTCTATTGGTTAGTTGAATTTGTTGATTTGCCTTAAAAAGTCCATTTAGTATGTTAAACGATTCACAACCAAAATAAGCGGTGAAAGAAATTTAAGTGTTGTTGATGCATAAAAACGGTTATGCAATTGAAAAAATCCTCAAACGTAAATTATGTAAAGAAGATTATGCTAATTTATTGTTCTGGTCTGGTTCAATATGTCATTTAGCCGGAGAGAAACCTGAATTCAAACACCTTATAATTGGTCAAGAATGGTTGTACACTATGAATCATCCAAAAAGACATTTGGAGAGTAGAATACACTTCAGTGTATGATGAATAAACCTTTTAAATTAATCTTTTTTCTTCTTCTCATATAATAATTGCATAAAATCAGTTTTAGGTGTTGTATGCATTGGAGATTTGGCCAAGTTTCCAACGTGTCAAATCACTAGAAATTACAATCATATATGTATTTTTGAGATGAATGGGGATTTTAATTTAGAAGTAGTACTCGTCATGGACTGATATCAGTTGGGGAACCATTGAATTTCTGGAAGCACTGGACAGCTGCTTCGTCCTAGTATGGAGCTCCTCAGCAGTACGCACCTACGACCCGGTTAGGGATCGAACTCAGGACCTTCAGGTTTCACGGCGAATGCGTTAACCATCCAGCCATTGGGTCGGTTTCCAGTGGTTCACAATTTCCAACTTTTGTCAATTCACGACATAGCGCTACTGTCACCCAAGGTCTTCAGTTAGCACCACTTCACTTCCGACTGGTTGACCCTACAGGTCACGGCTTCTCATTAGAGCAACCTGATATCAATCTGGAAGCAAGTCACTAATGAGCACTAAACAGTAATGTATTTTTGAGGTGAATGGGTGAATGGTCAACGCGTTCGCCGTGAAAGCTGAAGGTCACGAGTTCAATCCCTAGCTGGGTCGTGGGTGCATACTGCTGAGGAACCCCATAATAGGACTAAACAGCTGTCCAGTGCTCTCAAATTTTCAATGGTTCCCCAACTGATGTCAGTCCATGATGAATACTACTTCCAAATCATATATGTATTGAGTTTATTGACAATGTAACTCAAGTGTCGACATGTTGTTGACTGTATGGAGTCGGTTGGACAAAACCTGAAGGTAAGTTACTGTCCATAGATTGTGAAAATGTTTCAACGGGTGTTATATACGGCCCTACGTTTATTACAAAATTTATCTTTGAGAAGACAATAAGAAGATGTAGGTTATCTGAACTGTGTAATGCAACGTATTTCAAACAACCTGATAGCACCTGTACTTGTCATAGGTATTTATATGAAAATGGGTGACAATATACAAAGAAGTCAAGTAGGGAAGGTTGAATTAATGGTCAAATAACAAGGGAAGTCAATAAAGTGAAAATAATGGTACACTGAACTCAATTTCAGAGTTGAAATCACCATGTCGTCCAAAAAAATTGATACTGAACACAAAAATGTTGTTTAAACTTCTTAATATCTAAGATCTCGACAAGAATTTAAGAATCTGTTCCCAACACATTCTGTAGATAGGTCTAAAGGAAGTAGTCATGTCAATCCTGTGACCCGTCTCGATGGTATATTTCGCAGTCGAAGACTCTGAATGTCTGCTACCAACGTTAATGAGTTCAGGTGATCTTAATTTGTTTTTGAAGCCTCTTTTGGAATATACTCCAAGTCCTTTACTTGCATGGATCTGTGTATGTGTCACCAAGCAAACATTTGAATTGGCTGATGCAGCGAGACATGAAATTGTCTTTCACATGCATTTTCAGATATTCTGATCACTAGAATGGACTTTGCGAAATTGGAAACTGAAGTATTACGGATCGAATCTTCAACTACAATATTAACAACCCAACACCACACAAAATCAGTCGTATAAAAACATTGTTCAAAAGAACGAAGACACACTGTAGTATTTCAACATTGAGGAGGGAAGAAGAAGGACGACAATCCATGCAACTTCATCAAAAGATGTTTGTATAATTCATCGTCAGCCTAATAAATCTAAAAACGGATTTTCTTATCCTACATGAAGAACATCTTCGAATTCACGACTAGATTATTGAAACCTTTTAAAATCACTGTAGTTCACAAACCCATACAATCTCTTCACACTGTGCTATGAAGGCCAAAAGATTCAATAGCGAAGGAAGACAAACTAAACGTTGTCTACAAAACGAACTGGATAACCTGAGCGAAACATTATGTAGGATAGAAAGGGCGCCCCCTTCGTATCCGTCTACATGAATATCAACTTACAGCGAAGCATCATGACATATCTTTGCTTAAGTCACTGTATAGAGACAGTTGTGGACATGGATTTCACTGGGAAAATTTGGACATCCTGGAAAGCGGAAATACAAAGTATGTCAGAAAATTTCCAGGCATTCAGATCAATCGGTTATCAACAGACATATTGATGTTGACCCAGTAAGAAACAACAAGGAGGTCGAACTTGAGTTCACATCAGCAGGACAACTAATCAAAATAACTATGGAGAAAATGATAAGACGTTGGGAAAAACAAATAATCACACACAAGGCCGTCGGGGCAAACTAATAAATCGCTTACGGAGAATACCCGACAGCTCATTTCTTTCTGAAGTTTGTGCTGATGATGTTGTCTAGAACGGCAATCAAAGCTTCATGATTACACTGTGCAGCTCAGAGAATACAACATCATCAACGTGTCTAATTTTCTGAAGCCGTTCAATTTACGTCCTGACTACAAAATATTCATCAGAGTACATAAGAATAGGACAAGTAACATGTACATTAGTACTTAACTACACATAAATTCTCCCTTATGGAATATAGTAACCGATTGTCATCAATGTAAATCAGGTTCTCAGTCACTAATTTACCGTTCAGATAGAAATTTTGAAAGTCTATGAGTAAATATTTCCAAATAATAGAATTTCACTCCAGTTTTTGGCTCAGATCCCAGTTCCTTGCTAAAAATCGTCTGTTTGGACTTTGTCGTCTCTTAACCCCGGGTGACTGATCGCGTCATGGAGCAGAAAACATCCTTTCATAACGTATTCACTTGAAAATAACGCTATCTTATGACTAATAACTGAATCTTTCCCTCCCAAATGTCACACTTCAATGTATCTACGTTCTCAGGGTAGTCGTCTCGTTAACTATACAGAAACCTTTCCATGGGCAAATGCGCGTAGGATAGGTTTCACTGAACATCCACAATCTTGCAAGTAGTGATTTAGTACACCTCCCTGGAATAGCCTTCCTCAGCTGTCACCAAAATTAGTGAGAGGTACGCTTTCAGAGTGATCCTGGCCATTCTTAAGTTATAGCCATAGCAAACGATACCTGGCATTTTGGACTGAATCCAACTCACATTCTCAAGGAAAACCACAAACACATCTCTTGTGATTGCTTGAATAGGAGTGACTACCGGAATCAAACGCACTGTTCCCGGAACTAGTTGACTAGACAGAGTCCTGACGACATACTAGTCCACCCGTGCTTCGGCAATCAGCACTCTTAATGGCGCTTAAGGGCCTCATCAACCGCATTTGTCCACAACTTAAATAAAACATCGTATTGCTTGGAATCCGTGGGGGGGGAGGGGGTTACGAAGGAACTTGTTGTTGTGTATACAACTAGGCTGGACCAATATTCCCCAGTGGATATACCATTTCATGCTTTCCTAGCCAGTAACTCGAGTGACAAAACCACTTAACCACGCCTCGTAGGCTTATTCATGTTGACGTCTGGTATGTAACTATGACGCGACATTTAACTGCCTCTAGAGAGCCATAGTTACAGCCGCCAAATACCGTCAAGCAATGGTTGGATGTCACTTTAGTGAGAAACAGTGTTTTGCAGACCATTGGAGCCTTGACATGCATCCTACTCAATGAACCGCTGATTGTCAGTGCATATCTAAAGATTCATCTTTCGGAGTTGTACGCCACACGTTTAGTCAACTGACTTGAATGCTGTTGAACAGCACTAGTGTTCCTAATTCTGGTACAGAATTCATATTACTTCGCCGCCTGACTAAGCTTAAAACCACTCATCAATATTTCCAATCATCATAATTCTTTAACCAGTTTACTCTCAGAAACCTACTTTCCATCCTAATACATAGACAGAAACTAGTGTGCAATGAGGAAGAGTGTTTAGAAGGCAATGAAATGAGTATCCAACCAGTAGTCGGTGATCCTACAATCTATCTCATATATATCATCTTGTACTTTTAATCCTTTGGTTATTAACAGAGATATTACAACTAATGTATGTATCCCGCAATAGTTTATATCCCTTTAGTAAACTGAACTTACCATACAACAGAACAGTCGAAATTTATCAGCAACCATTTATGTGGATTAAATACGAATGACATGGCATGCTATAGTAAGAAAAATTGTAGAAATAGCATTAATCGCTTCTCAAAAGGACAATATAAATATCGTAAATACTGAAATCGAAGCATAACTCTGCATAAACAATTACAGAATGAAAGCAAGAAGTCAGTTTTGATTTAACACACTTGATAAAATATAATACACTGAGAACAAAGTAAGTGGTATTTAAAAGATTCTCAGTCCTTAGTGCCAACCCATTCAGGAGATCTCACAGTAGTTTTCTTTGAAAACCAGAATTTATGGATCACACTACTGATCAACTCGAAACTTAGCGCTAAGCACTACTGAACAACATAAGCAATTTGAAACATCTCTAAGTACATAGCAACCCTACTTTCTACCCATATCACGGTATTAACAAAGGAGATGGTTTCACTGATTCGGACTCGTTTTCTAATTCAGTCCCAGTACACCAATTATGTGTTCAGATCCAAATCAGCAAGAACCCTGTCAGTGCTTAGATCACCTCAAATTCACTAAGGAATAGAATCAGAATGAATTCTAACTTATCAAGTTATAAAAAATAATGAAATTTTGCAGAAAGACTGAAAACTAAAATAAACTTTAACTTGAGACTATTTAGAAGTTCATTTCTCTTCACATACTGTGAGCCAAAACTCTGGTTATTTGGGTTGTGGCTATTAAGTTTTCGTTGACGAATTTAACTTAATTCCAATGATGTGAGGATTTTGTCATGATTAGTAATCTGTCAACCATCATGACGTCATCTGTAGATAGTGGATTGATGCTGAAGTTAGTAAAACCAACCAATCCAAGCGTTATAAGTTATAAGTCCACCAGTGATGGTACCTTACCCTTCTATACGTTTTGCTGCTGTGTGCTATACTCGCTGTCATTTCATTAAATCCTGTGCTAAATAACGCGGCGAAATCCACGCACGCACACACACACACATACAGACAGTACTTACTTCAATTCCATCCATTAAATATCTATATTCTGGGCAAATGAAAGCCGAACCACTGTACGCTGCGTCCACATGAAGCCAAATATTGTGTCTACTGCATATTGGTCCAATTTCCTTTAAACTATCAAATGCACAAGTACCTGTAGTCCCCAACGTTGCACAGCACTAAAATTACCAGAAGCACAAAACATACTACTTGTGTAGATAGTCACTTGTCAGTAGTAACTTATGGTTCATTAGCAAGGTTAAGAAACATACATATTTTAGTCCATTATTGGGACAAATCTGAATTATTGTGATGAGTTTTCTTACTTGCATTGTCCCGTCGTTTGAGTCGACCAAAGTAATCGGTCTCTAATGGCGTAAAGGCTTCTGCGTGGATGCCCCTTTACTACTTGTGTCTGAATTATGTATTACTGATAGATAGTGGATAGCAGTGGAATCCAGGATGCGCACTTCGTTCTATTTGGGACTCGTCACCTGGATGCATCTGTCTCTCAATCAGCAATGTTGTCCCCACCAGGACTCGAACTCACGGGCGATCGCTTCAAATGCCAAAGTTTTATGCATAATTAATGTATAATAAACACAGGCAATACCCATGAACCAACAGAGACTGGTCAATTCTGTCCAATGCGAGATAATACAAGCAACGACAACAAAACTATAACTGTCGCAAAAGAATTGGTTATCGTGACTCGGTGGTCTGGTGGATAGCGCTCTAGCGTTTGAAGCGACCAATCCGGAGTTTCAGTCCTAGTGGGAGCAACAACGCTCACTGGAAAGCAAGTGCATCTAGCTGACGAGTCCCAAATGGGATGAAACGCCAGTCCTGGAGTCCACTACTAGCCGTTATCCGCCGATGATATTATTATGGTCGTCTCTATCTCAGCTTACAACAGGACGGAATGGTGGGTAAATTTCTTGTCAGAGTAGGGAAAAATGACTTTATGTAGATGATTAATTCAATAGACAGTAACTAGACACTAAAATACTTTCGTCGAACAACATGTTTTGGATATTTAAGCGATATGTACAAAACATATGATGAATTTCACAAAGATACATGTAGTTTGATGCCATTTGATTTCATTCTTCATCAAACTTCCAGATCTAATGAGTATAGACTGGATTACCTTCTAGTGAATTACTTCTTGAAAATATCAAATTTTGAGCGGCTATAATATCAGAATTTTTGATTACTGTACGTAATAAAAAGGTTTTCAGTACACACAGAATCACGATTAACTTCCTTATGTTACACGAATTCATCTTGCTGATAAGTAGTTAAAGTAGTGTAACACCTATTTTAGTTTTCCAATTCATCTTTTCCAATGGTCATCATTGGAATCTCGTAGATATCCTACGCATCAAATATTACTTTGGACAAAATAAGAACGGGAAATTTTACAGAATAAAATGATTTCATCTCATACTCTTCAGGTGTATATAGTCTAAAAGTCTAATGGTTGTTGGGATATAAGATATTTCAAAATTAGGCAGCCAATAATCTTTCTCATTCAAGTATGAATTGGCTAGTCAAAACAGTCTTCAACACATCTAGGAAATTATCTTCTGCCAACAAGTTACATAAGGAAGTAAACGTTTCACAGTATGCACCACTACATACTTGCTGAACTAGTCAAAATTAGATAATTAACTTGCTTATTTAACCTCTAACTATGTTTACGAATTCACGTGCACCTGTGGTAGCAAGTATATTGGAAGGACTGGAAATAGGCCGTTAATTCGGTTCACTGAGCATATCCCCAAAAATCTATACTTGAAAGAAATTGAAATTCTAACCTGTGCGATTGCCAGACACCTCGTAGATATAGGATAATAGGTTAGGACCCCTGAGTGCTTTCAAGATAATAAATATATAGAAAACGTCTAGTATACTGCGCTTCATGAAAGTAATTGCAATTAAAACGCTTTTAACCTGACCTTTGCTTACAGAAGAGTGTAGTTAATCTTTTATTCCCTTGGTGTATATGATATGATTATCTTTCATTTTAATTGCATAACTCTATTTGAGATGAATGGGGATTTTAATTTAGAAGTAGTATTCATAATGGACTGATATCAGTTGGAGAACTGTTGAAAATCTGGGAGCACTGAACAGCTGTTTCGTTCTATTATGGAGCCCCTCAGCAGTACGCAACCACTACCAGGCTAGGGATGGGACTCAAAACTTTCAGGTTTCACGGCGAACGCGTTAACCATCCAGCTACTGTGTCGGTTGGGTGAAAGTCACGCTATATCGTGAATTGACAGGGGTTGGAAATTGTGAACCACTGGAAACCGACCCAATGGCTGGATGGTTAACGCATTCGCCGTGAAACCTGAAGGTCCTGAGTTCGACCCCTAACCGGGTCGTAGGTACGTACTGCTGAGGAGCTCCATACTAGGACGAAACAGCTGTCCAATGCATCCAGATTTTCAATGGTTCTCCAACTGATATCAGTCTATGATGAATACTTCTTGTAAATAACTCTTTATTTATTGATTATTTTCTTTCTTACATTTATTAGCTTACTATAACGGGAGAAACTCAAAGTAAGTAACCTCCTACACCTATCTAGGAAGCACTGTTTCAACTACAAGTGGCGGCACAGACAAGGACGTCAAAGCCAGGTAGGATCGGGAAGACAGCAAGGCAGGCCTTCATTAGCCTGAAACCAGTGTGGAGATCTTCTGCACTCCACTCAGCATGTGGAACAAGATGTGGATTTTCAACACCAACGTGAAATCAGTGCTTCTGTATGGTTGAGAGACTTGGCGCGTCACGAAAGGCATTTCCAATAAACTACAGACACTCATCAACAACTGCCTACGCTGGCTCGTTACTGAAGATCAGATGGATTGCCAGAAAGAATAAGCAAGAAGGAGCTCTGGCTGGTGACGAACCAACCAAGAACCTATCACCCAACAAATATGCAGTAGCAGGAAGTGGAGATGGATTGGGCATGCACTGAGAAGGCTGACTGGGGACATAACGCGTCAGGCCAGGCACTCGAGTGGAATTCCCATGGGAAGCGACGAGTTGGGCGTTGAGGTGAGAGTGACATGGAGGAGATGGTGTGAGGAGGAAATGAGAGGTTGTGGGCTGTCGTGGAGCCAGGTTCAAAAGATCTCAGAGAAGAGAGTGCAGTGGAGACGTGCTACTGAAGCCGTATGTTTCACTAGGAACCCAAGGGACTAATAATAATATAATAATAACTAGTAATTCTATTACATATTATGTGGATTATTAGTGATTTTGTTGTACACCTTAAGATTATTGATTTTCTAATTTTGAAATATCTTATATCCTAATAACTAATGTACTTTTAAATTGTATGCAGCTGAAGAGTATTCCCTAAAATAAAATGATGATATCATTTTATTCTATAAATTTCATCTTCCTTACTTTATTCATATTTGACAAGGGATTTAAATGTATGAAATATCATTTTGATCAGTAAGATTATTCATTGTAATACATACTATACAAAACAACTAAAAAACATATGAGCGTAAATATTTACATTCTTTTACATTATACAAAATAAATTGAGAAACATTTTGAAGTGAAACGGTCAAATTTTTTTCTTTAAACTTCAAATATATTTTCAAACAAAAATGAAAATAAATGTCATATAGCTTATTTTTGATATTTTATATTTTGAGGTGAAATAAACAAATAAAAATGTTAGGAACGTAGGATATTCATTCACCTCAGAATATATTATACAACATTATAGCAATATTATTCAAAATAGCCTCTGTCTGATTTCTCCTGACTGACACCAGTTAGAGAAATATTGAAAACATAGAAGCACTGGACGGCTATTTCGTTCTACCATGGAACTCCTCAACAGTACCTACATTTCATGGTCAGTAGGTTATCATTGATTTATTGGGTTAGAATCAAATGGTCCATATTTTTCTTACTTCTATCAGTTCACGATATAGTACGACTTTTATCCAATCAAGTCAAACATGAAGACAGTTACTCAGCGATGACATTGAATTAAGGGATAGAAGTAAGAAGTATGGATCAGTGGATTCCTATCAAATGGTTCAATGGTAACATGGTGGTCATAGAACTTGAAAGTACATTCTAGTAGTTATAAAGCTTAAATCCCTTCTTAACTCACTATCAACCTGTCATAATGATTCAGTACAACAATCTTTAAACTAAAATGTTAGTTATTAAATTCATAGAAAAATCAAAGGATAAGTAAATGAAAATATTTGTTTTGTCTAGACAAAATTTATCAATTGACAGTAAAATAATAAGGTTAAATTATTATCTAGTATAACATAAAAAGTAGTAATCAGGATCATCAATGTTAATCCATGAATAAAACTTACAAAAAATGGAATTAATCCATTCTGTATATCTTCTTGAATAGTTTGTTCTAGTACAGTTGTATTCATTCCATAGTGTTCATTTGACTTGATCGCTTTTAGTTGTAACAAGCTGATTAGACCAGCTCGTTCAACTGAACTATGCGCCTGAAATAGATCAATAACAAAAGTATGGTATTTGACATTTTTATGAATTGAAACATTGAATGAGTTAAGACAAATTTTTCCCATGGACTAGTCCAGTCTATATAAGCGAAACGATTAAGCCATTCATGGTTTTCCACCATAAATATCCTTCCATCATGAAGTATTCGATTGATAACAGTTGAGTTTCCTATGACTCAGTAACCCAATGCATAACTCTGTGACGCTTAAATCGATGGGTGCTGTGTTCGAGTCACTTGCTGCTGCGTACATATATCCAGCCAAAGAAACCGAATTGAGGCGAAAGATTTTCTAGATTCTACTGGTAACCATTACCTGGTAACCGCCCTCCGTTACATGAAATTGGGGTGAGAGTACAAATTTCTACATTTCATTTGAACGAAGTAACCACGCATAGTTTACTAGCCGGTTCTAAGCCCGGAAAAACAGGGAAAGCTAGGCGTGAGGCTGGTGAACCTATCCCGGAAAATCAATCCAATCACCAATGAAACTTCAAAGCTTAAATGAAATATAGAAAATAAACTTATACTTCGCTGGAATTGGGGAGACGAAATGGTTCCGGTTGGTGAAAGTCTTCGGAAAGCCAACTGGACGATGTGTCTTCTCTCTCTCTCTCGACGAAAGTGAAAGAAAGCATAGGAACATGGAATTTCCGCATGACGTTTTAAGCTGGCAAGGCTACGAAAAGCATTTCCAACAAACTACACACATACATCACATCAACAGCTGCCACCTACACTCACTCGGTACTGACACTGAAGATCAGATGGATGGCCAGAATAATAAGAATAAGCAACAAGGAGTTCACTCTGACTGGCTGGCTGGCAAATGAAACAAAAAAACAAGAACCCATCACTCAACAAATATGCAGTGGTAGGAAGTAGACATAGATTAGATTGGACATATACTGAGAAGACGGTTTAGGGACATCAGGTGCCAGACCAGACCAGACCAGACCAGACCAGACCAGACTGTTGAGTGGAAGCCGAATGGGAAACGACGAGTTGGGGGTCCGAGGAGAGGATGACATGGAGGAGATTGTGTGAGGAATAAATGAAAGCTTGTGGGTAGTGGTTGAGTCATGTTGAAAAGACTGTGGAGGATAGAGTGAAATGGTGATGTGCTACTGAATCCGTATGTTCCACTAGGAACCTCAAGGGATAAATAATAATAATAATTTGAAGGAAGTGTGAGATGGTATATTCGCTGCCAAATGGTACAAGAAATTTAGAAATATTATGCTTTTTTCGCTAAGAGATAAAATTTTTAAAGGTGGAGACTATGTAACATTGCATATCGACTTAGGTGTTTGCATTTCTGGCTAGATTAGCTTCATTTGTTGTTAGGATATTAGCCGAAGATTATTGTTCCAACTATGATGCATCACTTCCAATGTTATGACTTGATAGTTGACAAGTTCCTAGATTTCCTACATGTATTAATTGTTTCAGTAATAGTAATAATTCATTATAGGCGAACAGAAAAATACCCATCTTTTCTCTGTGTCCCCTTAAGTGAGAATATTCCATTTTCTCTTCGCATCAATAAGATATGAATCGAAATACTGAAACTTGAACAGGAAATATTATAGCAAGTGAAGGTTTGGAGACAAAAGTATGGCTTGGATGAAGAGTACAACACTAAAGCATACATTTACCATAATTATAATTCTCATAAGTCTAAAAATGTGACCTAGAATTTGATTAATTGCCTTGGTTTCACTGTAGATAATAAATTTTCACGTAGCAATAAGCAGACTTAATTCTTTTGTATCGTGTGATAGGTAGACATAAAGAGGTAATGGAAAATAAGGGCCACAGAACATATTCTAAAGTGGCTTGACTCGGATGACCCAATTAATGCTGGTTGCAAGCTTTCAAGTCTCTCAATAGCTAAACACATTACTGAAGCAAGACATGAAATAAGGGTGTCTTTCGAGACTCGTCAGCTGGATGTGCATGCACACTAGTGGGTGATTTCATCCTCACTGAGAGTGGAATCCAGCACCCATTGCTTTAAATGCCAAAGCATTATCCACTTGGCTGCTGGGGGCATAAGGGCCACCTCTCCTGCAACGAACATCATTTATTCTTTCACATTTATATATCCTCGTCCGGCATGTGTTTGCAGATTGGCTCCTATGCAGAAGCCTCGATAATGCCTATTGGATAACATTATGAAGTTTGAAGTGATGCCTACGAGGTTCGAGTCCTAGTGGGAACAACATCACTCACTGGGGTGCAGGGACAACCAGATGGTGAGTTCTATATAGGAAGAAATGCTCATCGTCAGTTCCACTGTTAGTCATGAATATTCGGAAGTATTGGGGTATTTGCATATGAGCCCACTGCCGAAAGAGGTCGATAAGTTTGACCCTGCAAAACAATGGAAGTTTACTGTTATCAAAAAACATTCGTTCGAAATTGATTTAGCTTCCATGCACATTACTGCATATATGAAACGAGCGTTATAAAATATTTACAATAACACCAGTTAGTTAACCAAACTCCGTATAGCTTCATTTAATTACAAAAACAGACGCATTTAGACACTACAGCTGTACACGTTGACACGCGTCATTCTGTGCAGATTCTTATAGGTCATAGTGAATACACGTCTTATTCTACTTTCTATCTGACCTAACTACATTGAGATGGAATGAATAACAATGTGAAATGAAATCATTTACTTGGCTATTGCTACCAGATAAGTCCAGTACGCATGTTTCGTTTTATTTAGGACCCCAGTATCAACTAATAATAGTAAAGTGAAATGATGACTGAACAGATGGTTCAATGAGGAAAGAATACACTCCTTTATGGAGACTTCTCACTCATGCTCAACAGTCATATATCCATGGTATTCCATGAAAGAATGAGATGTTTGATAACAGTCAGTCGACAATATCAGGTAGTTCATGAGTTCTTCTCAGAAATGACTCATATGAAAGACAGTTTAAGGATGAAATATTACTGGAATTTACTTCTAAACTATTCGATAGTAGCGAACAACTGTGTCATCAGTGTACACTTATTCTTTGCATAGTTGACTGATGGACATGGGAAAGAAGCTATTGAAAAGAATAGTCTTCATACAAATAATTACCATTGTAATCTTTGAAGGAGGAACTAGTGAATAGAATTAATGGGATAAGATAGCTCTATGTAAGGTTATTTGATAGTACACTAGATCAGTAGATTGAACGAAGGCTGTTGAAGTTACTGTCATGACTAACCTTCAGCATTAAAATTTGTTCTAATAGATTTATCGTTAGGTATACTACTATTGAATGACTTGAGTAGTTAGAAACCATCCAGGATTTTGCCAGACAGATTACACTGGTCTAAACACTGAATGACTGTTTTCGGCCGAATTTATCAGCGGTATACCTGAACATATTCACTTTAAAGAGTCGAATTACTTAAAATCAACTGAGTAGTTTCTGACTAATCAAGTTTTTCAGTAGTAGTAAATTTCGCCAGTTCATAACACTTTTGTGTCAGGAATTATACATCATAATCTTGGCTGTCGGTAGGTTTCCAATAGATACATTGTTGACACCATACTTGGGTAGTTGAATAACTAACTATTCAGCTATGAAAAGTGTTAACATGGGCTGTAAATCTTGTAAATCATTTACTGAGAGTTGTTTTCATTTCAACTATCATTAACCTTCACCCAGAAGTAATCAATATATGAACATTTTAATCACTGGAAATCACTAAATACTTCACTTTGTTACATGAATGATGGAGTAAATATGCCATTTTATCCTTTACTATAAAAAAAAATCCCCACATAAGTTGAGACAAAACATCATATTCATCAAAAATTGACAGCAAAATATTTTCATCTGACAGTTAATTTTGATGATAAGAATTTCAAAATTACCGGGAATCATAACTAACATAAATCAATAACTGCACGAAATAAAGAAGGAAAGATAAGCTTTTTTTTTCAATTGTCTACTCACTTGAATAGAATAATACCCAACAAGTTTAGATATGACTTCATAGACTGTTGCACATGGATGATCATTCTGATATTCTTTTACAGCTTTATTTCTTGCAGCTAACAAAGCGACCAGTGTTGATTCACTACAACCACCCTGGAAAAAGTTCGATCAAATAGCTGCTATGTACTACTATTATGTAAATAAATAGGAAATCGTCAAAACTGCAATCACAACAGTTGTATAGTATTTAAGTCTGTCAAAAAAAACAGCTGTTCAGGATGTGTAGTTGTCTGATGTTAGGTAAGATTTGGTATTTGATACTGTGTATTTTACACCCTAGCTTGATGACCTCATCCGCATATCTTTCAACAGATTTATTGTAGTAGTGCATTCGGTAGAATATTGAAATGACATAACCAGAACTTTATCTATCAAGTCAAATGGTAGTAGTTCTATGTTATGATGAGTTATAATCTTCTCAAAGATGGATATAAAATTCTATGAATATATCTCAGTTATTCTGGTGTTTTGAACGTGTGTTGACGACTATGGATACAAACAGTTTGATTGACTGGGATTTAGAATGACTGTTATAGTGTAAACCTTCGTATGTTTTTTATCTCGTTACTTTTTTGACTTCTGTTATATCGAAAAATAAGAAAATAATGGAGAAATTTGTGAACTGTGCAACACTTCTGAATGAACTTCGAGTCCCGGTGTTTTTTTTCGTCATCATTTGAATGTGTTAATCTCAATAACTTAACATAGAACCTATTTTAAAGTTATTTCAACACTTTGAACCACTAATGGTATCCGTTTTAAGGTGGAGTTGCATTCAGTCTATTGTTGTAACTGAGCCATTTCGTATGACTTACGAAAAACTCAGTTACTAAGATAACTGATCTAACCTAACAGCTGGAATGTTATGTAAAAATAAAAATATTGGTAAATATACATTATTTATACAAAACCCAACCATCGTAACCTTCCGTTTTGGTAGATAATTATGCGTAGAATGTTAAAAAACAATCAGAAGTATACTCTTGACCTAATATTTTTACTCGCTGGCCTTTATCAATGAGGAGTACTTGTTAATGTTAGTAGACTGTAATTACTCATTCCTAGAGTCTCCGATTTCAACGCCAAATGATATAGGTTTAGACTTTAAAAGAGAACATGAGCATTCAAAATTGCTTAGCTACTCTGCTGATGAGTCCTGACAAGGACGAAACACAGCTGAAATTATGCTTCTTATCTACTGAGTTCTAAAACTTTGCACTACGGGGAATTGACTACACTGATATGTTGGATATGATAATGGTTTAATGGAAACTTGAGTTCATATTGAAGATAGTTTTGATGATGTTGTCATGATTGACAACGAAAGCTTCATGATTAAACCATCTAGCTCAAAGAACACAACACAACCAAAATCATCCACTTGAGTTACTAATATTCTCCACAATAGTGTGGAATTTGCAGCTTGTAATATTTCAAGAGATTCACTCCTAGTGTAGGAAACGCGAAGATTGAGACGCTGGATTGAATATTTATTATTGACATCTTGCACTAAGACAGTCATTTGCATGATGTGCTTCATTTCCTCTTCTGCTTCTATCTTGATTTGCCCTTAATACGCCCACACTATCTCCTACATTTCTGTGGACAGTATTTTTACCCACTGCTGGTAATTGCTTTTGATTTTTGCCACCCTCTCAACATATACTACTTATATCCATTCTGATCAACAACACCCACTACACAAGTGGACCAACGAAATAATTATACAATATAAATAATGTCATTAATAGTAGTCAAAAAGTCAGTTGTAAGAAAGAGTTAACTGATGCAAAACTGGAGTCTAGTCTGGAATAGGGAATGAATTGAAAAGCACTCCAGAGAACGTACGTTTGCTGATGGTTCGTTTAACCAGTTTGAAAATCTGAAACTGGAGTTAAGTATCTTGGAAGTAATAATGTAATGTATTGTTGTCAATTTAAAAGTCCCTTTCCATCTACCATGATGTTTATTCCTTGTTTTAGTTTTATCATGTAAAAAAGAAGGTTGAAAATATTTTAAAAATACTGAAGATGGATAACGGCTAGCAGTGGAATCCAGGATGCGCACTTTGTCTTATTTGGGACTCCTCAGCTGGATGTACCTGTCTCAGTCACTAGGAGGTAGGTACATCCAGCTGAGGAGTCCCAAATAAGACAAAGTGCGCATCCTGGATTCCACTGCTAGCCACTACCCATCTTTTCTATGAGTAGAACACAGGCTATATAGAGGCATCCACACAGGATCCCATATACTAATCAATAACGGTACAATACAAGTAATAACATATTTTAAAAATACATTTAGAATACATATTCAAAGAATTAAAACAAATTGAAAAAAGAAACAATTCGATGTAATATGTTCAATGAAAACTTTCTGTCAGTTCAAAGTTTGAAATAGGCCGCTTTAATTCATGATGTAAAATGATTCATTTGTGATAATAAATTTTACGCTATATATTCTTCAAAATACTAGATTTTGAAAGCTTAAACTTTACTCATATCAACTTATTGATCATACCACAAACAAATATACAGGATATAAGGGGAATGATTCAGAAAATAAGTTTCTTTTTCTCTTCAGAATGTTATCATAACTGCATTTCTATGTTCACCTCAGCCTACTGACAATATATTTAGTAGTACTGCTGAGAAATATACTACACTAAAATTATTCTACACTAAGTGTTGAATTAATCCTTACATAATCTGACAGCTCAAAACCTCAGGAGAATATCTGACATACCCAAGTTTCCTGACTTACTTTACATTTTTCTTTTATTCAAAAAGTGATTGAAAGCCACCACTTACCTATTTCGTTTAACTCTAAATTCTATGTCAGTGCCTACAGACATCTATACCTTCTAATAGTAGAAATCAATAAACCCCATTAATTGTTGTCCTTATAAAAGGAAAATATTTGTTAAAAGTTACAAGATGATCGATAAAGATAATGTCATCTTGAATAGTCAAGTTGACAAGTATAAAAATCAGTCATTTGTCGACTAGTGAGTGAAATGTTGTTTTCCTCAACTCGGTTATTCTTCAGAACTTCATTCTATTAAGTGTTATGGAGTACAGGTTTATGCTACAGAGTATTCATACTTTTCAAAAAGAGGTTTGTCACATATGACTTTCTTTTTATTATTAGTTCTCTTGGTCCTTATGTGATGTTTGTTAGAAACAAAATGGTGAAGAATGTAAAAAAATGTCTTCCACTCTACTACAGACTGGAGATAAATGTCTTGTTGAACGATGTGATCAGTTCGGGGTGTTTGGAGGTGAAGAATTTGTTCGACTAAGTATATATATATATATATATATATATATATATATATATAGAGAGAGAGAGAGAGAGAGAGAGAGAAAGGGAAAGAGGAACAAGCTCCATATGATCAGCTAAAGTTTCGATAGGTTTATCGTTAAATGAGAGTTAATTCTGAGTGAAAAAAATGAAATATGTTTTTCTTAAGAATGCCACCCACCATGAATGAAACAAAGTAACAACGAATTACAGCAAAAATTGCATAATCAATTTAACTGATACTACTATTTGATATGATTGAAATAGTGAAAGGAACAAAATCGTTTAGTTTCATTTCAGGACTCATTACAACTTCACATTACTGAACTTCATTAAAATGTATTTTCTCAACTTGATTGTGATGAAATAAAATCAGTTACATTGATTGATCCCTATAGATCATTTTGTAATGCGACCATTTAAGCTATGAAGTGAATCATCGTGGTGACTGAATTTGATTAGCACTCAGGAATACACAGCATGAAATTGATTACTCTACAGTGACCAATCAACGTGTCTAATCCAATTTGGTCCAACAGGAGGTCATTCGCAGCACGAATAGCTAAGTGGTAATATCAACGACTGCAACACAGTCTGACATGCGACGTTCTTTCTGCCAAGGTTGCAGATACCCCTTGCTAACGAGTACCAACAACGTCGAAGCAGGGTCATTTGTTGACCGAATTCAGGGGTTTGTAGAAACTTGGAGATTTTTTCTTTTCAGGTTGGTATTCATCAAGGACTGATATCAGTTGGAGAAACATCGGAAACCTGGGAGCACTGAACAGCTGTTTCGTCCTAACATGGGACTCGTCACCAGTGTGCACCCACAACCCCGCCAGGGGTAGAACCCTCACTGCGCACTGATGAAGTGTCTCGTACTGGTAGCCCTGAGGAAGAATATTCAACCATGATATTGGGTGTTGGTAGCGCTATGTCGTGAACTGACAAAAGTTGAAAATATGGACCACTGGATTCTGACCCAATGGATCGATGGTAAAGTGTTGGTCATGAAACCTGAAGGTCGCGGGTTTGATCTCTTGTGGGACGGCGTCATGGGTGCGCACTGCTGAAGGGTCTCACACTAGGACGAAACAGCTGTCCAGTACTCTCAGACTTCCAGCTTTCCTCCAACTGATGTCACTTCATGGTGAATACCATCTTCATCATCTTTTGATTACCTTAAAACAACTAACAAGTAAATCAGTTCAAAACAATTCGAATCGGTAACATTTCCATTTGCACTTCATCTTGCCTTAATCCAAACTTCGAATGTGATCCATACTTAAGGTATATCAACAGTTATTCCGAAAATTACTTATGAGAGATTAACATTAGAACTTGTGGTTTTTTCTGTGATGTTACTGTGCATTGTTCATCCACAGGAAGAGGTAAGTTGAATTATTTATTATTATTATTATTAGTCCCTTGGGTTCCTAGTGAAACATACGGCTTCAGTAGCACGTCTCCACTGCACTCTCTTCTCTGAGATCTTTTCAACCTGGTTCCACGACAGCCCAGAAACTCTCATTTCCTCCTCGCAAGACCTCCTCCATGTCACCCTCGGCACCGACGCCCAACTCGTCGCTTCCCATCGGGGTTCCACTAGACGACTTGGACTGACGCGTGATGTCCTCAGGCGGCACTCTCAGTGTATGCCAAATCCAGTCCATCTCCACCTCCTTCCACTGCATATTTGTTGGGTGGTAGGTTCTTGGTTGGTTCGTCACCAGCCAGAGCTCCTTCTTGCTTATTATTTCTGGCAATCCATCTGATCTTCAGTAACGAGCCAGCGTAGGGAGCAGTTGTTGATGAATGTGTGTAGTTTATTGGAAATCCCTTTTGTAACGCGCCAAGTCTCTGAACCATACAGAAGCACTGATTTCACGTTGGTGTTGAAAATCCGGATGTTGTTCACGCTTTATGCTGAGTGGAGTGCAGAAGATCTCCACACTGGTTTCAGGTTAATGAAGGCCTGTCTTGCTGTCTTCCCGATTCTGACTTTGACACCCTCGTCTGTGCCATCGCCTTTAAGTTTCTCCCGTTGATGGTGACTGAAGTTTGTTGTTGTGACTGGATGGGTATCTTCATCACCTCTATCTTCTCTATATTCACTTGAAGTCCCTTGAAGTCACTTGAAGTTGAATTAGACACTACACAAGTGAGACTGATACTGTCAACTAGTCTGATCCAAATATGAATTTTTGAGGCTAAATTACTGTTTGATATCGATTCACATTGTTTCTTAAATTTATCCTAGAGGAAGGAGCCATAGTAAGACACTAATTATAGATTCCTGAGTAGTACTTGTCAAAATTCAACAGATACTTGAAACAGTTATAAGTTTAAAACGCATTAGTATGAAGCTGAAACATGACTTTACAAAATGTTAAATTTGTCATTTAAATATCTTTGGAACGCTTGAGTTATGATGGATCAGATATCCACCACTTAGCCTTACTTACCAAACACCTATTAACCGGTTTAATTAACTCTAGTTTCTCAAATACTATTATTACTATTGATCAGTGTTTAAGTAGATGGAAGTTGTTTTTTTTTCGCTAATACTGCCAATTTTACATTTCTTCAAAGTCCACTGCATATTTTTTACAGGATCTTATGATGAAAAGAGACAGAAAAAACAAAACAAAGAAAAGTTATTTTTTCCTTGTAACTTACTTGTATAACTCCACCGCTATTTTTGCCAAACAAAAAGTGTTTTGGTAAGCCTAACATTTTTGCCAACCAATCAATCATAACAACTTCTAATTCAGTACAGGCTGGATTTGAAACCTGTGATTATACAAGTAATAATTATATCTATAAATACTTTGTCTTTTTTTATATCGTTATTACTAGTGCTAAGATTAGATAACAGTCTGAAATATTTCAATTAATTACTGATTATTGAAATGAAAAAAATAATTTGTAAAACTTGAAACTAGATTTTTCTTACATCGATATACCATTACTGTAAGCAAGTCGAAGTAAAATAGGAGTAAAATATAGAACGGAACTGAATTATCTGAAAGCCGAGCTAATCAGTAACAAAACGTACAAGTAGTTAGATTATACATTCCAGGACTTCAGACAGCTGGACCTGGCTATCTGATGTAAATATGTTGATTGATTCAGTATATGCTGCTTTCTCATTTTATCTGACTTTTTCCACTAAAATATATGCTATATTCTTCGAGTTGTAAAACATAGCGGTGACTTAATAGATTACAATATCACTAAGGAATAACAGCTGAAACCTATTGGACAAGAGGTTGCTGTCGTTCATCAGAGGCATTGAGGATGGATGCTTGATTCGAGACTCAGTGGGGTACAAGTACATGCAGTTGACTAGCCCTAAACAGAATGAAACGCTCCTACTGGGTTCTACAATGTACAGAACCTACTGTAAAGAAATGGTACTATCTCAGTTTGAAGATACCAGTGAATACTTTTTAACTGTTGATCGCCTTTAAAACTTTGACAAAGAAATCAACGGTCAGTTCAATTTATGATTTCGCTACCTATACCGGTTTTTACTGTTGCCGAATATCCTCAGTTCTTTGAACCTCGTTGGAGGCACTGTTCGTCATATGTCATCCAACGAATAACTCTGACTCAGTAAGAAATCAATTTGTGAGCAATTAAGGAACATCCCGTATGTCATTTCACTTGAAATCTTTGGATTAGTCCTAAAAAATTCCTTCAATTAGCGCATTCCAACAATTTTTTGGTAGTCACAGAAACTGTATATCAACATTTCAGACTAAAAGCTTGCCGATGGTTGACATCTCCCGCCTGCCAATACCATGGAAGGCTTTTTGTTCTTAAGGTGCCTGAAAGAGAAAAGGATTTGTGTGACCACAGAGCCCATGAGATACGTGCTTTAGGCCTGTCGTCACATACAGCTTTTTGTGTGTTGTTTTGAGGTCTGGTTGTTCTGACGTCGGTTGGAGAAACACCATACCACTGCCATCGGAAGACCGAGGGCATAAATGAGTGTGCTATTTTGAGGGTTGACCTGTTCTGTTCACCCGCTGTTCTTATAGGGAAGGCAGTATCAGAAAGACACTGCTGGTTATCCAAGGGAAACACCTTACTTCTGTCACACTCCCGTACAGTCAGCAGTAAAACTTCTCCCTCAGACCTCCATCATAGCTTTAATCTACACTAAAACGGTAACTCTTTTTCGTCTTTCCACTCTCTAACAGACCTATCTAGCATGGTAGGACCTCAAGAGAATAAGCGTTCCGCCAGTATAGCTCGTTGGGTCACTGTGATATGAAGGTCAAACCACTAAGTCAAGGTAGCAGCTATCAACATTTGACTGACCGGTGTTTGATAGAAAATATGTAAATTCTGTTTTAATGATTCGCTATCTTTTGTACGATTCCTGTTGACAAACGTCTCAGCATCAGATCATTCACCATAAACAACAAATTAAGTTCTCAAAAACACTAAATAGAAATACTGAAGAAGAATTGATGATAAACACATACCCATGTAAATCCTATTGACGATATGCCATCAGAAAGGATATCGGCACATATTGAAGTGTATGAACAACCACAAGGAAAATAGGCATGAAAACGTGGATGTTGCCAGTGGGTAACCTGGAAAGTTTATTTTAAAGGGAGAAAAATTCCAGTTATACAGTTAACGAAAAATTATGACTAGAATAAAGTACAATGAAGTTTTAACAGACTCTCAGACAGAAGCTCAATACTTTAGCTGTACATGTGTTAATACTATCCAACAAGAAACAACTATAAAATGCCTTCCATTCCCACCTTAGGTAATAGGAGTGGTCATGTTAGTAATAAATCATTCCCACTATGAATAGTCTGCTATGGAATCGATATAAATATGTTTGTACATCAACCTCATTCAACAGCAATACGAAGACGCCACACGTCAACGGCTGTATGCTGTTTGACCGATGAAATGACCCTAGACAATGTGCATTTCGCTGGTGATCACTTGTGTTTTATATCGGACTAGCTTGAAGATCTGCAGGCAAAAACCAACAAGTTGTCAGAAGAGGCAGTGCAGTGAAGACGGGATTTCATTCAGGTGAGCGTGGAGAAGACGGAGGTGATGAAGATACCCAACAGCCACCACCAACAACCACAACAACAAGCACCAATCACCATCAACGGGAAAAATCCAAACGAAGTTTTCTCCTTCACCTATCTAGACAGCGTCGTTTCCACTACACGTGGCACAGCCACAGATGAGAACGCAAAAGCCACAATCGGAAAGACAGCAAGACACGCTTTCATCAACCTGAAATATTCAGTGTGGAGATCTACTGCACTCCACTCCACTCCACTCCACTCCACTGCACTCGACTTAAAGCATGGACAACATCTGGATTTTCAACACTAATGTCAGTCAAGTAAGTCAGTGCTGCCATGTGATGATTGAGAGAGTTGGCGCATTACGAAAAGCATTTCCAACAAACTACACACATATATGACATGAATAGCTGCCACCTACACTCACTTGGTACTGACACTGAAGATCAGATGGATGGCCAAAATAATAAGAATAAGCAACTAGGAGTTCACTCTGACTGGCTGACTGACTGACTGACTGACTGACTGACTGACTGACTGACTGACTGACTGACTGGCTGGCTGTCTGGCTGGCAATGAACCAACAAAGCAAGAACCCATCACTCAACAAATATGCAGTGGTAGGAAGTAGACATAGATTAGATTGGACATATACTGAGAAGACGGTTTAGGGACATCAGGTGCCAGACCAGACCAGACCAGACCAGACTGTTGAGTGGAAGCCGAATGGGAAACGACGAGTTGGGTGTCCGAGGAGAGGATGACATGGAAGAGATTGTGTGAGGAATAAATGAAAGCTTGTGGGTAGTGGTTGAGTCATGTTGAAAAGACTGTGGAGGATAGAGTGAAATGGTGATGTGCTACTGAATCCGTATGTTCCACTAGGAACCTAAGGGACAAATAATAATAACAATAATACTTCACTGCCAGGGTTAGTTGGTTTCATCAAAGCTGACCTTGAATCAGTATTTGAAATATTTAGCTCGCCTGACAATTATGTGGTCGATACACGCTGAGATATGTGAGTTTTCTGAAAATTTATCAACAGAATGAATAAAGGAAGCAGCAGTCTAGTATGACGGTTGTTTGGTGTATAAAGCTGACGAATTAAACAACTTCACATTTCCATTGGTATCGGAATTTTTCGAAAACAGCAGACAGGGTCTTCGTGGAAGAAGAATATCTACTCAGCTGAAGTAAAACATGTTCGTAAAGTGTGCTGCTTGCTTAGCTTTTTGAATAGAAGACTTGTCGTGCTTCTATAAATCTTTTAAGGGTCTCATTTGTCCTCCAGGGTCAAATCATTTCAAGACAGAATGTTCTGACTTAGAATAACATTACGTATTCACAGAGTATATAGTCTATGACTAGAAGGAAACATTTAGTTGAGACTGAATTGTAAAATTTTAGTATGGTATCCTGGGGGAACCGAGACATTCAAACCACATAGTATGATTTACTTGACACTCCGAATGGGAACATGAAAGTTTATCATGACACAAAATTGCCATTGAACTGGATTCATCCCTCGGTATTTTGTACGGCCCTTGTATCACGTTAGGTGACACTACTTCTTCCAGAATAGTGAACTTTGTCAGTTTCAAAATGTTTTATTACCAACTGATAATTGCCGTTTCACGCTTGTTACCACTAATCGTACGTTTTTCATATGCTATTTAACCGTTTAGTTGTAATGACAAGCTATGCCAGGATTCTGTTTCTTGCTGATTACTAACACTTTTTCTGCTCTGTATGAGTAGTCAGACAACCAACAACTCAGAAAAAAGCCTCAAGATATATGCTTCTGTGATAGGTTTTCATTAACAATGAGGTTTATGTTTATGCAGGTACGCTGGTGACAAGAAAATAAGTTTGATTAGACATACTTCTATCCCCATTCTTATAATTTTGTTACTCATTTGTGCGTCTTATACTAGTTAAACAGTAAGCGGTTAGGGAAGACAAAACAAGGCTATCTTCAGCTAGTTTGAGCTGAAAACACACGTGTCACAGTGGGACAACCGAAAAGGAATCAATTCATTCACTGATCTGGAGATACGATGCAGACAAAATAAACAAAGTGGTTGTGACAACATGACTTTATTCTAATAGTAAGATTTCAGTGAAAGGAAAGATAAACAATTACGGAAAGAGGAAATATTATTATCCAACTGTAACATCTTGTCTCTCAAGCTCAATCAAGACACTGTCCAGTATTTTATGCTAGGTATATTACTTTGTCAAGAAAGAATAAAAAAAATGCACAATAGGATATCAAGGCAGTTTTGATACATTTTGTTCTTCTGAAGTACTTGTAACTGACCACCTCAAATGACCAAAGCACATGTCACCCGCACCTTCCAGAGTGAATGGAAAGGAGTATGAGTTGTCGTGTAACAGGGGTAATTCACATGTTATTAGTAAGTGAGATGGAGTCACTCACTTCTATGCAGACAAACCAATCCGATAAGATTGCGTTAAATTTAAGCTCTTGATTGTATGACGAACTATCTATCATGAAACGTAATAGTTTTCCTAAAGACACTGGTTTCAAACATTCAGATGTAGTCGCCTTATGATTAGGCAGTAAAGTAGTCATTGGAAAGGCTAGAATTTTCTACCTTACCTGCGTTGAGATTCACATCTGTAAACTGATGAAAAGTATTACATAACGACCTATGGCTTTTAAATCGATGATTTTCGAGAACAGTCGCTTGGTAAGAAGAGTGGGTCTTCTGAAAACATGAGTAAAACAGTTTTCAATGAGATCGTTACTTATTGTTGCGTGTACTTTCTTCACATTGATTTGAGAAACAAGCCGTTACTTGTTGAAAAGACCATTTATATAATGACCGGAAAAGGTAGTGAAGATAAAAAGGGGGCAATCATGCTCATTTAAGTAACCAATTCTGTCTGTGCGTATCTTTAAATGCAACTACCTCAATCGCATATACCATACAAGTGTTTGGATGAGCAAACTAGTTGCCCTAGAACTATCAACATAGCGTAATAAAGTTGAAATTCGGTAGCCTTTTCTCACCGAATAGTGTCACCACCTTGAACTATATATTTTGTGAACACTTGCTTCAACTGCCAAAATTAATAACAATTTTTTAGACTGAGCTTTTCCATTTGTTGTAGATTACGATAATGAAACTCATCAATGTTATGGCAGACATCATCATCAATACAAATTAGCCAACACATAGAGATGATAGGAATATGAGTAAATTTGTTGTACAAAACGTCACATCCCTGAAATCTCTACCCTCATTATCACCACTTTATTCATAATGCAATCGAATTATCTTTATCAAAAATCAGAATAGACTAACCCCTGGCATAATCACCCTTTCAATATCACTGATTATTTGTTCCCAACTCTCTGGTTCATCTGGTGCTTCAGTCGGGATCAGCTTAGCCAAATATCCTGGTTTGACCAATGGGAAAAACCTTCCTTTGTTGAATATTCTCTAGGTAGTCAGCCACATATTGAATCATCTCAGTTCCATATCGACGAAATTCATCATGATCAAGAAATTCCTCTAAATAATTAATAAGGGAGTGAAGAGGAGGAATATACAATTTTATTACAAGTGTATTTCCGCAGGAAATCTACACAAAAGTGACGTTTCGAGCATAAATTATCATTTCTCATAATCATATCAATGGAATCATACCACGTTCGACATTCGATTTTCATAATTATGTCACTTAATATGATTTGTTTTTATTGGTAGGAAAGTTTCCATATCTCTGATATGGGTGTTACGTCATTTCTATTACATGTGTGGGGTTGGGTGTTGATTCGATGAACAAAGATCCAGTAATCAATCCACGTTTGTCCCTCTCTCCCTCCACCTAATTATATTGGACTTAAGTACACTGACCTTATCCCATCTATCCTAATGTGTGACCGTGTGTTAATGCATACATTGCGATACCCGAGTGCTTTTCTAGATTATTGATCTTATTCAAGTCTGTCTTTCTCTATTTGGCTAAATTCCTATGTTCAGCTATTCTAACTGACACCGATCGGCTAGTTTGACTTATGTACTTGACCGCACTCACAGTCGGACTAACAGAAGGAGTAGCAGTAGGATCACTAGTATCCCCAATCGTAGCGGATATATTTATGGATAATTGGGAAAACATGACTTCACAAATGTTTAGTCCTGCACCAAAAATATCCTGGCGATATGTGAATGACACATTCACTGTGTTGAAATCGAAACATATCGACAATTTCCTGACACATATAAACTCGGTAGTAGGCGCAATCCAATTCACTTATGAGGTAGAAAAGGAACAAGAAGAATTACGTATGTTGGACTGTAGAGTAAACCGAGGAAGAGACGGTGGTTTAGATACTATTGTCTGTGGGAAACCGACATATTCTAGCAGGTATCTAGACTTCAAGTCATCTCATTCAATGTCAGTTGAGGCAGGTTAGTCAAATGTCTAAGTGATAGAGCTAGAAAACTCACTAGTTAGTGCAGGGACGTAAACAGGGAATTGAAGTAGGTGAAAGAAGCGCTAATATTCAATGATTATCCTCTGTAGTTTATTCAGGAATTCGTACGAACACATAAAAAAGGAGAAGGTGACAGTAACTCGCGTACGAATAATAACAACAACACGAGTAGGAAGGAATTCACAGCCTCCATTGTGTTACCCTATATGGAAGGGATATCAGAAACGTAACGTAGGATTCTCAACAAGGTTGGAATTAGGGTGGCATACAAACCTAAAAACGGACTCAGAGATAGGCTTAGTCAGCTGTCTTTAGGATCTGGTGGATTCAATTAAGCAAAGTAATCTAATTTATTAAATTCCATATAATGACTTTGAGGTTATTCACATGGGTGAAACTAGCCTACCGGTGTCAGTTAGAATAGCTGAACATAGGAATTTAGCGAAATCGAGAAAGATAGACCCGAAAAAGATCAATAATCTAGAAAAGCACTCGGCTATCGCAATGTATGCATTAACACACGGTCACACATTAGGATAGGTGGGATAAAGTCAGTGTACTTATTATTATTATTAGTCCCTTGGGTTCCTAATGGAACATAGTACTTCAGTAGCACGTCTCCAGTGCACTCTCTTCTCTACTGACTTTTCAACCTGGCTCCACGACAGCCCACAAGCTGTCATTTCTTCCTCCCACCATCTCCTCCATGTCACTCTCGGCACCAACGCTTAACCCGTCGCTTCCCATCGGGGTTCCACTCGACGACTTGGCCTGACGCGTGATGTCCTCAGCGGCACTCTCAGTGTATGCCAAATCCAGTCCATCTCCACCTCCTTCCACTGCTTATTTGTTGGGTGGTAGGTTCTTGGTTGGTTCGTCACCAGCCAGAGCTCCTTCTTGCTTATTATTTCTGGCCATCTGATCTTCAGTAACGAGCCAGCGTAGGGGGCAGTTGTTGATGAGTGTCTGTAGTTTGTTGGATATCCCTTTCGTAACGCACCAAGTCTCTCAACCATACAGAAGCACTGACTTGACTGAGGTTGGTGTTAAAAATCCACATCTTGTTCCACATTCTGAGTGGAGTGCAGAAGATCTCCACACTGGTTTCAGGTTAATGAAGGCCTGTCTTGCTTTTCCAATTCTGACTTTGACATCCTCGTCTGTCCCGCCACTTGTAGTTGAAACAGTGCTTCCTAGATAGGTGAAGGAGGTTACTTACTTTAAGTTTCTCCCGTTCATGGTGATTGGAGTTTGTTGTTGGAGTTGTTGGTGCGGTATCTTCATCACCTCTGTCTTCTCTATATTCACCTGAAGTCCCGTCTTCGCTGCCCTGCCTTGCCTCTTCCGTTAACTTGTTAGTTTTCACCTGTAGATCTTCTTCGAGTTTGTGTGACACCAGACACAAGTCATCACTGGCGAAATCCAGATGTTCTAGGTTCTTTTCAACTGTCCAGCGTATCCCCCCTTTTCTCGCTCTTCACTGATTTTCCATGATCCAGTCCAGTCCACCACAATCAGGAATATCATGGGGGATAGTAGGCAAGCTTATTTCATTCATTCCTGTCTTCACTTCAAAAGCATCACCCAGCTTCCCATTGTCAATTACTTGGCTGGCATGTGGTGTCTTCATATAGTTATTGAATCAGACTGATAAAGGTACACAAAAATGATTTGATACTAAATGTCAAGTGAGAGTCAAACTGATACAATGACTGTTCAATTTTGAAATACACCAAATGGGAAAATTTATGTAGAAAACTTCGCCGTAGATTCGACATTAATTCACTTGTGATTAACTTGGTAGGAGAATCGAGGTAAATAGTATTTTGTACCAGATACTTAGAGAGATTTTTCTCAAGATATATTTGCTTGACTTTGGTACAGGTGGTTGGATACTATTGGCAGTATGATTTTTCGCATGCCAGCTACCTGGTGCCAAATTTCCTGAAATTCAGGTTCTATATATCTAGTTGATTGTCGCTAATCGAATGACATTAAATGAAGTACACAACAGTGTTAACTGTCTCCGTTTGGTGACCACATTGAGGACTTCAGCTGAAGGACTGTGTTCCTTCTCCAGTGAAAGATCGATCGTTATGTCAAAACAGCTTGACCTGAGGGGATTCGGCTGACTTTTTTATCAACCAAGGATTCATTGAGACCATGAAGGAAGTGGATAGTTGTTTTATCAAAGCTTCCGAGTCTTTAATAGTAGATACTTACCAACAGCTGATATCGATATATTATGAAAGCTGTCTCAAAATATATTCAGTGTGATCAAAATTTGATTAGAAAGGATTAAGCAAATTGAACATTGGACACGTTGTTTAGGAATGAAGTAGAAAACAAAATTTCTAACTTCTCACCACTCTGTAAAGACCTCTTCTTCATGGAATAAAATCTGTTTGAACTACCACACTTCTCAGTAGTAGGTGGGACAGATTAGATTTTTTTAGAGGTAGTATTCGTTATGGACTGACACCAGTTAGGGAACCACTGAGAACCTGAAAGCACTGGACAGCTGTCTCGTCTTAGCAAGGGACTTTTCAGCAGTGTGGAGATGGATATCACGAAGTCCTAATGAGAAGCTATGAACTCTGGGATCAACCAGTTAGAAGGGAAGAGGATGCTAACTGAAGATCTTCGGTAATATTCGCACTTTATCGTGAATTGACAGAAGTTAGAGACTGTAAACCACTGAAAACGCAGTGGCTGTATGGTCAATGCTTTCGCTGTGAAACCTGAAGGTCCTGAGTGCTTTCTGCTGAGATTTATTTTATTTATTCCATTTACTATTTAGGTATGTTTTAAATATTTTGGCTCTTTACTCTGAAGAGGCTTCTAAGGTGAAAAAACACCAGAAATTTGTTTTCTTCTTCTTTGGGATTTTATAAATATTTTTTAACAACGTTGCGCAGTAATCAGACTACAATTCTTTCAACTTCACAGCAGGTTGAGGTGGTGATAGTGAACTCATCAGACAGTTGATTGGACACAATCGGCGGGAATCCCTATTCCACCTAGGTTTCACGCTTGCAGGCAGGCGTCAGCACGATGTATCTGCAAACTTAAAGGAACTGCTATCCCCACTGAGATTCGAACTTTCGTCACTCGGTGCTGAAGTCAGTGATGTTACTGCTTAGCACTGTGATGGTGAGCTTTTTAGCTTGGTTGTTGGTTCGGTCAGCACTCGGAACTAGACGACATGAAATCGGTTGCTCTCCAGTGACCAATTACTGTATATAATCCAGTCCTACAGGAGGAAAATCGTGGCCTGAATAACTCAGTTATAATGTTGCTTACTACAGCATGGTTACACGAGGTTGGATTTCACTTCCTACAAGGTTCAGACATGCCTTATCGATGAGTACCAACAAACACTGCGCCAAGGAAGAGCAGGAGTTCCTGTCGATCATCTTCAACCTAGTAAAATATCATCAAAGTGTACCGTGATCTTGGTGGTCACAGTAGAAGATGACCGATAGAATTCAGTCAGTATTAAAGACTAGAAAACGTGGAACAAATTGTTTGATAGGAATGAATATGAACTTTGAGTTTTGGTAGATTCAAAGACTGAAGGACTTTAAGAAGTTAATCAACACAAAATAAATTAGACAGATGTCTAATCACTGTTAGCTACATGGGCTTCTTTTTACATTAAGTTGGACAACATCAAACTAGTTACAGCCCTGACAACACTTTTCTTGTATCACTCTAGGAGGTAACCTCACACATTGAAAGGTAAGTAACGTTTTAGAACAGTGATCAAAGTAACTGACTTCAGAGAAGCTGTTGGATGGGAAGACATCAAATTCTGATCAGTCAACGATTATCATTTCTTGACCGCAGTGTCATGTAAAAATTTCAATGAATCAAAAAATTATCAAATTAACCTATCTAACTTATAAACTGTCATCTCCATGGACACATCACATCAAAATTACACTAACAGATATAAATAGTTCTATCCTATTTACAGATAAGTCCTATTTTCTGTCTAATTTCAATATTTGTACTGGATGATGATTGAAGGTGAAATGAGAATTTGGACCGCGGCCGGATTCGAACCAG